CGCCGTACCCATTACCAGTCACTCCCTATTCCTCCCTCCAGTTCCTGGAAACCAATGCTCTATTTTCTGTCCCTGTGGTTTTGCCTATTCTGGACATTTCATATACATGCAGTCATCCAATGTGTGACCTTTAGTCACTGGCTTCTTTCATTAGCATAACGTTTTCGAGTTCAAACATGTCATAGCATGCAGCAACACATCATTCCTTTTTGTTGCCAAATAACATTCCGCTGTAGAAATGGTGCCTGATTTTTTAAAAAAATTGTGATAAAATGACATAAAATTGACCATCTTAACGTTTTGGGTTTTTTTTGAGGAAGATTAGCCCTGAGCTAACTACTGCCAATCCTTCCCTTTTTGCCGAGGAAGACTTGCCCTGAGCTAACATCCATGCCCATCTTCCTCTAGTTTATATGTGGGACGTCTACCACAGCATGGCTTTTGCCAAGCAGTGCCCTGTCCGCACCTGGGATCCGAACCGGCGAACCCCGGGCCGCCAAGAAGCGGAATGTGTGAACTTAACCGCTGCACTGCTGGGCTGGCCCCCATCTTAACCATGTTTAAGTGTACCGGTCAGTAGTGTTAAGTATATTCACATTGTTTTGCAACCAGTCTCCAGAACTCTTTTCATCTTGCAAAACTGTATTTTTGGACACAACCTCAGAAGCTACGTAGCATCACTTCTTCTGTCTTCTATTGATTATAAGTGAATCACTAAGGTTGGCCCAGAGAGAAGAAAAACTCTGCCTCTCAATGGGAGGAATGTCAACGAATCAGTGGTTTCAAAATCACCGTACTGGGGCCGGCCCCTTGGCCGAGTGGTTAAGTTCACACGCTCTGCTTCGGCGGCCCAGGGTTTGGATCCTGGACACGGACATAGCACCACTCATCAGGCCATGCTGAGGTGGCGTCCCACATAGCACAACCAGAGGTACTCACAACTAGAATATGCAACTATGTGGTAGGGGGCTTTGGGGAGAAGAAAAACACAATTGAAAAAAAAAAGAAGATTGGCAATGGATGTTAGCTCAGGTGTCAATCTTTTAAAAAAAAAAAAACCACCATACAAGTGAGGCACGAGATCTCAAGGTCATGTTTGGGGTTATCCCAGGAAGAGTCTCAGGGACATTTCGGTAACCATCTGGACCTCCTTGGGCCCCTTTTCCCACCATAGTGGGGGGCTCATCCTGCATCCTGCACATGCTCATCTGAGGCTGTAACAGCCGTTCAAAGCCTTCCAGAGTTGGCCACAGTGCTGGGCCAGGTGCAAGTTGGGAGGCCTGGGTCAGCTGCATAAGTGGGACTCAAGGTAGACCCTGAATAAGTCCCATCCTCTCTCTAGGTGGCCACATCTGCCCTTGTGGGCCCTGGATTGTTGTAGGCATCCAGAGAGAGCTTTAGCAGACACAGGGAAAGTGGTTACAGGGGGAATTGTGGATGTGGACCCAGCTCGGTGTTTTACACAAGAGGAATCAGGCCGATCTAAACGCCCTAGGTGATCAGCGAAAGGTATTCACAGCCTAGAAATTGAAAAGGGAGAGGGCTGAAGGGTAGCGTGCCCTCTGGGGATCTCATTACTCGCCTGCCTATCTTCCATTTAAGTTTTCCTAAGACTTTACAACGCAAGACCAGGGCTTCCTGAAGGAGCCCTCACATTTTTGTAATCCCCTCTAAGTGGGCTGGATGTTTTTGTGTGATTGGCCGTCTCTGTCCCCCTGGTCAGTGAGTTCAGGAGGCAGGGCCATGCTGGGTTTGCTCTCTTTGTCCCTGGCTGCAAGGCTTCTGGTGTCGCAGCTGCTCCTTTTCCACGCTGGTGCAAGGCGCCTCTGTCCTGTCTGCCAAGCCCCACCCTGCCGCCATCCTCCCGGGGCCCTCCCCTGAGGATTCCGCAGAAAGCTGGCCCAGAGTCCGTTCTCCCTCCCTGTTCCAGGCTGAGGTCTTCGGGGGTGTGGGGGGAGGGCAGCCCCGCTTCTCCTCGTGCTTCTCCATAAATGATTTTTCTCACTTCTACAGCAAACCGCCCCAAACCTGCAGCAGCTCTCATGCCACACAAAGCATCACATCTCACAGGCTGCTTCTGTTTTTGCCACTTCCTTCCTCTGAAGCAATGAAGGAGTGAGCGTGTGCCTGCTAGGATTCACTCATTCATTTAACACGTATCTATGGCGGTCTGCTTTGTGACATGAACTATTTTAAGGACTAGGGGTGCCTTCCTGAACAGAAATACAGAAATCCCTGTTCTCCTTGAGCTCCCATTTGAGTGGAGAGAAAGGAATAACGAATAACCCAGTTAAATAGCATGCTACAAGGTGATACGTACTATAGAAAAACAAAAAAGCAGCGTGAGCAGGACAAGGGATATGAGGGCGATTCCAGTTTGAAATCGGGTGGTCAGGGTAGACCTCACCAAGAGAGGGACACTCGGGAAAGAAAAGCAGAAAATGCAGGGAGAAAAACATAATTAAAACCTTTTGGGGGCTGGCCCAGTGGCATAGCGGTTAAGTTCATGCACTCCGCTACAGTAGTCCGGGGTTCTCCAGTTCGGATCTTGGATGTGGACCTAGCACCGCTTATCAAGCCGTGCTGTGGTGGTGTCCCACAAAGAAGAACTAGAAGGACATACAACTAGGATATACAACTAGGTACTGGGGCTTTGTGCGGGGGAAGAGGAAGATTGGCAACAGATGTTAGCTAAGGGCAAATCTTCCTCGCCAAAAAGCATACTTTAAAAAAAAAAAAAAAAACCTTTTGGTGGCTCTTCTTTGTCCCAGAATAAATTCCTGACTTTAAACATGGTCTTCAGGTTGTTTGTGACCTGGCTCCTGCTTTCTCCAGCCTCACCGACACAAAGTCCACTATACACACACACACACACACTCTGTCTCCACACTCTGATCAATCTCGAATGTGCGTACTCTCCCTGTGCCACACAAAGCAGATACATAATGCTACTCATAGCATAAATATAAAATCATAGAAGTTTGTGGGAGAACATGGGAGGTTAGCTGGATGGAGCTGCAAGGGAAACATGCAGAAGTCCTGGCCATAAAGCGTTCAACTCCAACCTCAAGCTCACTTATAACTGCAGATCACCTGCATGTGAAGGGGCAGTTAGAGCTCATCCATTCCACTCCTCACTGGGGCCCAGAGAGGGATAGTGGTGCCCTTGGGGTCACACAGCCTTATCTGAACATCAAGGCCAGATGTCCTGCTGTAGGAATAACATTTTGTGCCTGTGGTCTTTTCATAAGAGCTCAAGTTCCTCTATTGAGCCCCAGAAGGAGAAATGACTGGTTGATTTCCCCTCCACCAACTGATCATGGAATGAGCTGAGCGCCCGAGTTAAAGGGCCCCTTGCCAATCTCTGTGACACCGGAGGCAGCACCAACTTTCCTGACTGCAGATTCTGTCCAGGGCTCTAGAGGTGTCCTGGAAAGACAAGGGCAGACTCTCTGTGTTCCTCAAGAGGAGGAGAGTCCACGGGCTGTCAAAATACAGACTCTGAAAAGAATCCCTTGTCATAGACCAAGGCTTGGCCAGTGTAGTGTGGCCTTAGGAGCTGGGACTCTGTGGCCAACATCCAGTGCTCTGCCTGGGGACAAGAGGAGGGGAGTCTCTGGTGGCTCAGAAAGAAAAGGGGCACTTTGGGGCCAAGTGTTGTAACCATAACCCAGAAGGAAGTTAGAACTAAGTGTGAAGGTCATCAGATTGTGACAAAGCCAACAAAAACAGTCAAATGAATAAAGCTGTGTTGCAAATCCTTCGACCCGGCGGTGGGGGTAGGGAGTGGGTGCACAGGAGCCTGCTTGTGTGAAGGTCAAGTCTTCTTACTCTTTATTCCAGATGAGGCCCAGAGAGGTGAAAATTACACTCAAATCACCAAATCCCCCGCAAGCTTCAAGGATACCCACAGCCCTTCTCCCCATTGCTCCTTCCATGGCCAAGCACATCCCTGACAACAGTGGGCCTCCCTCCCAGACCTCCTCACAGGGCCCAGAACTGCCTGGACCCCTGACTTCCTTCCTCTCCCGACAGCCTTACAGATTGAGGCTCTCAGAAGCTGCACGACCCTAGGCAAATGGATTTTGCAGTCAGCTTCCTCTTGTAGAACGGAAATATTTGCAGCTCATGATGGTGACGGCTCCCACTTATTGAGCAAGCCCCCACTGTCAGGTTCTATGCGGAGAGTTGAACACACAAGTCTTCATTTAAGCCTTACAACACTCCTACGACAGCTTCTCTTGTTATTTTCATTTTACTGACCAGGAAACTGAGCCTCAGAAATGTAAAGCCATTTGCCTGAGGTCCCATAGCCAAAACTGGCTGGCTCAGGATTTGAACTGAGGTCACACTCCAGGCTTAAGCTCCACTAGCATTGCCTCTGGTAAGGTTTCTCCGAGGAGTCAGCTTTCCTCATAGGAAAACCACCAAAGGGTTACTAAACATATTTTACAATTAAATACTGTTAAAAGTCTCTCATCCTCCAGGAAACTCCTCCCACAAAAACGGATGGATGAAATGGACAGACAATACACACAAATAGAAATACCAATAAAAAAAAGTTGCCCACCCTAGTAATCAAAGAAATACAAATTAAAATTACAACTGTGTACTGCCCTTTGCTTATCAGATTGGAAAAGATTTTTAAAAGAATGGCTACATTAAAAGCCTGGGGCATAATTTCTTTAATTTACCCCTAATTTGTTGCTATTATGTCTACAGGATGGACTTTCCGATTTTTAACTCAACCTGTGTTAAGCTTCGCTCGGTTTATAACATGGAGCAATAAACATGTTTATGGTAATTGCCAAGTCAAGTGCAAAGCAGTAAGGGGCCAAATTGAGTGCAGGTGGGAGGTAGCCCGACCGCACTTTTTACTCTGGCCCCGCGGCGCGGTTGGCCTCGGGACCTGGGGCCAGGCGGCAACTCCGGGCAGTGGGCGCGCCCCAGGCCGTCCGGAGCTGGGCGCAGCGTGGGAACTACAACTCCCAGGAACCCGTGCGCCCGCCTCGCCCGAACCACGTGACCCCGCGGGCCGCGGTCGCGATCCGGCGGCGGTAGAACCCACTCGGAGTCAGGAGACCCGAGCGAGAAGCTGCGGCCCCGGCGCTCGCCATGGAGGTGAGTCCGGGCGCCGCCGAGAGAAGCGGGTGTGGGGTGAGCGGCCGGGACGGGGCCTTCGAGCAGCCGTCCGGGCACCCCGAGGTGCCTGCCCGCCGCCCCTGGCCGGGGGCTGGTGAGGGGGTGTGTTGGCAGCATTTTCAACAGCTGGAACAGGGTTGGGGGGACATGGGAGGTAGAGCTGGCGGTGACTTTGGGGGCTTTCTTTTTATTTGTCCCTCTTGCTGGGAGTCAGTCTGGCTAGACGAGCAATTATTGAGCACCTGCGGTGGCGCAGCTGAGCGCGGGGGCGCGGTGGGTGAAAACAGCGGAGTCCGGGGGTCCGCAGCCCTGGGCGCAGTGACATGGGGCAGGTTCCGGGAAGGCTCCCAGGAAGAGGAAGCCCCGGTGCGTTTCAGCCTGCCGCCGGGCGCTCACACACCGAGCACACGCCCCCGGCCGGTTCCCTGCCTTGGCAAGTTCGTGGTCTGATTCTTTTTGGGGAAAAGAACCAGACCCGGCTACTTTCCATCCTCCCTACACTTGGGGCAGAATATAGCGTTTCAGACAAACTGTTTTTCTTGGTAGAGTTCACCTGGGCGGGAGAAAGTGACAGCTTGCAAGACTCTCTGGTGTTTGAAGAAATCATACCATTTTCTTCATCTCACGAAGAATGTCATAGAGTTCAAGATGCGGGAAGCCGATACGTAAAGTCATTAGTCAAAAGCCCAGCCGGCATCCTGCCTGTTCTCTAAAAAGGAAAATAGATGGAAAGAGCTTGTGAAAAGTTCCTCAGCCACAGGACCGGGCGGGACTTTAATCTTCCCCTAAACTGTGGTTTATAAGTGAGGGAGCTTTTCTCAAAGTTTCAGTAAACCCAAATGAGAAAATTAAGAAGAAAACAAGTCTCCTTGTTTGAAAACAAGTCCCAGGATTGCTCTCTTCTTCACCACGGCCCCTCCCTACCCAGGGTGGGGCTCCAAATAGCACAGATAAGTTAAACTCAGCTGCTGGAGGCTGCAATATATCCTAAGTGGGGAGACAAGATGAGAGCTGCTCCCCTTGCATATCTGACCACAGGGCCCTTTCACCGAAAGCTGCAGCCCCGAGTCAGGGTGTGCTGGTTTGAATCTTTTTCTCCAGTGAGTTTTTGTTGCTCCCAGGCCCCCCCCCCCCCCCCCCACAGTGAGGTGGAACTGGACACTCTGTGTGGGCACTCCCAGCTTGGAACACACTGGCCTGTCTGTCTTGCCCAAGCTGCCTCCTGCTCCTCCTGTTTCCGCAGTCCTAGCCACCTGCTTCCCTGGCTGGGTTAGGTGTCCCCAGCACCCCCCAGGAGACGTCCCCCATGCCTCCCTCTCACTGACTGCGTATACCCTGTTGTAATGATCTGGTCACTTCCCCCTCCTCTAATAGATGGTTAGCGGGCCAAGGACTTATCTCACTCATCTCTGTATCTCCAGCATCTGCCCCCCTAGCACAACCAAAGTAAATATTGGTTGAATGAATTCTGTTGTTTTGTGGGTGTTCAGGTCTACAACAAAAGCTGTTTGGGGCCCTTGAGAGAGCTGGCCCAGGCCCAAGGATGAGAGAAGGAACCCAGTTATGGAACCTCTCTGATTAATTAGCCATCGGGGACATTCCAATCATGCCAGCTGCTTTATCGAGTGAACTCACAGGAGTAATGGCGAAACACGCCTCCTCGGGCACCACCGAGATGGTGCTGGAGGCTTCTGCTGACATTGAAGGAGAGCAACTCTGGTGTAAATGGAGTTTCACAGGATTGTTTGTACCTGTTTGCTTTTGCATATCAATCTTTTGTGAACATTTGGCATGTCAAGAGAGATATTTTTGAAATCTTAAAGGATATCTCTGGAGAGCAGGACTCAAAATTACTTTTGCTTTCTTTTTGGTCCTGTTTCAGTTTTTGACATTAAGCAAGTACCACTTTCATATAGGGAAATAAAAATCTCTTTTTAAATTCTTCAACATGGTTTTTAAATGCCTGCCGAGGTTTCCATTGTCTTCCTATGAGGTCTTGGACAAATCCCTTCCCCTCGTGGGACTCCTTTTCTGGAGGCTGAAGTTGGATCAGATCAGTGTTTTTCCACTGAGTTTCCACAGAGCGCAGACCTCTTCCCTCGCCCCGCCCCCAGCTCTGTCTTTTGTTGGTTGGTTTTGTGAGGAAGACTGGCCCTGAGCTATTGGCCCTGTTGCCAATCCTCCTCTTTTTGCTTGAAGAAGATTGACACTGAACTAACATCTATGCCCATCTTCCTCTGTTTTATGTGAGACACCACCACAGTGTGGCTTGATGAGTAGTGCTAGGTCTGCGCCCGAGATCCCAACCCACAAACCCTGGGCCACTAAAGCAGAGCGCACAAACCTAACCACTACACCACTGGGCCAGCCCCAAGAACCCTGTCTTTTATACACTGGAGTTACAAGGAAGATTTTATTTGCCAATGTTCCCTGGCAAAAAAGTTGAAACCCAGGGGACTAAAAACTCTGTGAGAAAATAAATAAGTCCTGGGGATGTAATGTACAGCATGGTGGCTGTAGTTAGTAATACTGTATTGTGGGGCCGGCCCTGTGACCCAGGGGTTGAGTTCACGTGCTCTGCTTCGGTGGCCCAGGGTTTCACCATTTCGGATCCCGGGCGCAGATATGGCACTGCTCATCAAGCCATGCTGAGGTGGCGTCCCATATGCCACAACTAGAAGGACCCACAACTAAAAATACACAACTATGTACTGGGGGGCTTTGGAGAGAAAAGGGAAAAATAAAATCTTTAAATAATAATAATAATACAGTATTGTATATTCGAAAGTTGCTAAGAGAGTAGATCTTAAAAGTTCTCATCACAAGAGAAAAAATTTGTCACTATGTGTGGTGACGGACTTAACTAGACATTGTGGTGATCATTTGGCCACATATACATATATCGAATCATGATGTACACCTAAAAATAATATGTCAGTTATATCTCGATAAAAAAACTCTTTGAGGACACTTCTAGTTCTGACGTTTGAGGCTTCTAATACTTGGCTGTTGTCTTAGAAGACAAAGGTTTCCACAAGCTGATCCCAGCTCAGCCACAATCTTAGCTGGGCAAGCACTGGCCGTGTTTGCAAAGCTGCTGCTGCTGCTGGCTGAGGTCTTACCTGCTGGCGAGGGCAACCTTCTCTTCCCTGAGAGGCTGAACTAACTGATCCGTCTGGCTTTAATCTTGCCAAACGCAGTCGGTAAGCCTGGACTGGGCCTTCAGAACCGCCGTCCAGTCCCCGTCTTGTCCTCCGTTCTTGGTGCTCGAGGGCCGCCAGCACAGTGAGCTGGAATGCTCAGGGCTTTGCCTTCCAACTAGACCTGGGGTTGAATCCCAGCTCTGCCAACTTAACTAGCTTTGTGACCTTCAGCAAATTATTTAACTTTTCTGAGCCTAGTTTCCCCATTTTTCCTTCCTGTGAGATGGGCCTAATTGTTCCTGTGACGCAGAAGACTGTTGTGAAATGAGATCACATATGAAAAGCCCTTGATGCCACCCCGGACACAGGGTGGACCAAGCGTCTTTGAAAGAGCGTTCAGACAGGAGCTGCGTGGTCATTGCTTCTGCCTTCATTCTTTCTGTAAGGCTCTGAGCTCCTCGAGGGCAGAGACGTTAACCTGTGTCCATAATGCTGGGCACAGAATTGGGCTCAGCAAATGTTTCGTGAATGAGTGAAGAGAAGTAGAGTACGGATTAAAGACAGCTGCTCCTGGGCTCCTCTGTGATAAACGCTGCTGGAGCAGAGTGGCTGGGGCCCTGGGGGAAGACGGGGCAGTCATTCCCCAGTCTAGTGCTTCTCCATTGGGTTTGGAGGGCATGGAGGGGACATCTCAGCATGACCTGAGAGCACTGTGATCTGGTTGGCCCAGTAAACATGGGCACCCTCCACACCTCACTTCCACCCGGAGCAGGGCCAGCTCCATTATAGCTCTGCTGCTGACCCACTGTGGGACCTGGCAAGTCCCTGCCCTCTCTTGCCTGGGTTGGTCCTCATGACCACTTACGGCTTTTCCAACACCTAAGTCCAGTGACCCCATTTTTCTGGGCCTTTAGAGGAGGCTGCTGGAGAGCATTTAGGACCATGACTTCGACTGCCCTAAGCCCGCTGTGATGCACGTTCCCTTCTCTTTCAGATGCATTTCATCTTCTCAGATAAGGTGGTGCTTCTGTTTGATTTCTGGAGTGTCCACAGTCCTGCAGGTAAGAACCAGAAAGCCCAGACTTGCCGCTTGGGGACCCTTGTAGCTCCAGGCAGTGGAGAACCTGGCTTCTGCTCTGTGGACATTTAAGTGAGCCTGACTCCTCTTTCACAAACATTGAGCAGGAACTTTGCATTTATAATTCCATCTGCAACCACTGCCCTTCAGACAGCAAAGTGCTCCATTCTCTCACTGATCCTCACAAAGGCCCAGAGAGAGGCCAGAGATGCAGCTTTTCCCTCTCTTACAGGGGAAGGAACTGAAGCTCAGAGAGGGGAAGAGACTCATCCAGGGTCATACAGCGAGTAAGCCTCAGAGCCGGAACTAGAGTAAGGCCTCCTGTTGCCTCCTAGCACCTCCCTCATCCAGGGTTCAGTGTCCAGCATCAGCGCAGAAGCCCAGTGCAGCTGCTGCAGCCTTGGACCTCAAATGAGACACCAATTTGAAAGAGTAGAGTATTCCTTTGACTTGAAAAGGCAGAGTTGGGCACTACTTCGTGATGGAGTTATGTTTTGACTTCAGTAACTGCAGCTGCCAAATAGTCTGGCAACGGCCCAAATGCCCATCACTGCGGGTGCTGATCAAATAAATTATGGTCATTCCTACAATGGGTTACCACTCCAGTAATCTATTGAGGAGTAAACCTAATGGCTTGAAACAGCAGCAGTCACTTTATTATTCTTTCTCAAGGCTCTGAGTTGGCTGGGCTCGGCTAAGCAGTCCTCACTCAGAGTCTCTCATGCAGGTCTAGTCAGACGGGGGCTGGAACTGGAGTCATCGTGGAGACCTCCTCACTCTCACGTCTACTGGCTGATGCTGGTTGTTAGCTAGGACCTCAGCAGGGGTTGTTGGCCGAACACCTGCATATGGCATCTCCCGTGGCCTGGGCTTCCTTGGGACACGGTGGCTGGGTTCCAAGAACGAGTGAGTGTGCCAAGAGAAGAAGGTGGAAATGCATGGAATTGTTAAGACCTAGCCTTGGAAGTCACAGAGCATCACTTTCACCTTTATTGGTTGAGGCAGTCACCAAGGTCGTCTCAGGTTAAAGGGGAAGGGACATGGACCTGACCACTTGATGGCAGGAGTGTCACCATTGTAAGAAGAGCGTGTGGAGTGGGAAATGGCGAGGTGGCCATCTTCGGAAAATATAATCTACCAGAGACTGTGAAGCCACAGAAATAAGATAGATCTGTGTGAACTAAGGGGAACCCACATACGAGGAACAGTTGGAGGATGATGTCAGATGCAGAAGAGGATGCTCTCTTCTGCTGTCATTTAGACAAGTAAAGGCTTCTATATATACATTGAGCATCCCTGGAAGGCTACACAGGAAATGCTAACAGAAGCTACTCTGGCGGGGGTGGGGGGACTGGGGTTTGGGGAGGCTGGGCTGGGAAGATGACTGACTTTTCACTGTCCGCCCTTTTAGGCTGTTTGATTTTATACCATGTGTGTGCAATTGCCTGTAATTTTTTTTAAATTAGCAACCCTAGGGTGCTATTTCTTTCTTTCTTTCTTTTTTTTAATTAAGATTATGATAGATTACAACCTTGTGAGATTTCAGTTGTACATTATTGTTAGTCATGTTGTGGGTACACCACTTCACCCTTTATGCCCTCCCCCCACCCCCCCTTTTCCCTGGTAACCACCGATCGGTTCTCCATGTCTATATGTTAACTTCCACCTATCAGTGGGGTCATATAGAGTTCGTCTTTCTCTGTCTGGCTTATTTCGCTTAACATAATACCCTCCAGGTCCATCCATGTTGATGCGAATGGAACAATTTGGTCCTTTTTTATGGCTGAGTAGTATTCCATTGTGTATATATACCATATCTTCTTTATCCAGTCGTCAGTTTCTGGGCATTTAGGTTGGTTCCACGTCTTGGCTATTGTAAATAATGCTGCGATGAACGTAGGGGTGCATGGGATTCTTGGGATTGCTGATTTCAGGTTCTTATGATAGATACCCAGTAGTGGAATGGCTGGGTCATAGGGTATTTCTATTTTTAACTTTTTGAGAAATCTCCATACTGTTTTCCATAGTGGCTGCACTAGTTTGCATTCCCACCAACAGTGTATGAGGGTTCCTTTTTCTCCACAACCTCTCCAACATTTGTCACTTTTGGTTTCGGATATTTTTGCCAATCTAACGGGTGTAAGGTGATATCTTAGTGTAGTTTTGATTTGCATTTCCCTGATGATTAGTGATGATGAACATCTTTTCATGTGTCTCTTGGCCATACTTATATCTTCTTTGGAGAAATGTCTGTTCATGTCCTCTGCCCATTTTTTGATCGGGTTGTTTGTTTTTTTGTTGTTATGCTGTGTGAGTTCTTTGTATATTATGGATATTAATCCTTTGTCGGATAAGTAGCTTGTAAATATTTTTTCCCAATTAGTGGGCTGTTTTTTTGTTTCAATCCTGTTTTCCCTTGCTTTGAAGAAACTCTTTAGTCTGATGAAGTCCCATTTGTTTATTCTTTCTATTGTTTCCCCCATCTGAGGAGTTATAGTGTCCGAAAAGCTTCTTTTGAAACTGATGTCAAAGAGTGTACTGCCTATATTCTCTTCTAGAAGACTTATTGTTTCAGGCCTAACCTTTAAATCTTTGATCCATTTTGAGTTTATTTTTGTGAACGGTGAAAAAGAATGGTCGATTTTCATTCTTTTGCATGTGGCTGTCCAGTTTTCCCAGCACCATTTGTTGAAGAGACTTTCTTTTCTCCATTGCAGGCCCTCAGCTCCTTTGTCGAAGATTAGCTGTCCATAGATGTGTGATTTTATCTCTGGGCTTTCAATTCTGTTCCATTGATCTCTGGACCTGTTTTTGTACCAGTACCATGCTGTTTTGATCACTGTAGCTTTGTAGTATGTTTTGAAATCGGGGCTTGTGATGCCTCCGGCTTTGTTTTTCTTACTCAGGATTGCTTTAGCAATTCGCGGTCTTTTGCTGCCCCAAATGAATTTTAGGATTCTTTGTTCAATTTCTGTAAAGAATGTCCTTGGGATTCTGATTGGGATAGCGTTGAATCTGTAGATTGCTTTAGGTAGTATGGACATTTTAACTATGTTTATTCTTCCAATCCATGTGCATGGAATGTCTTTCCATCTCTTTATGTCGTCGTCCATTTCTTTCAAGAAAGGCTTGTAGTCTTCATTGTATAAATCTTTCACTTCCTTGGTTAAATTTATCCCAAGGTATTTTATTCTTTTCGTTGCGATTGTGAATGGGATTGAGTTCTTGAGTTCTTTTTCTGTTAGTTCATTGTTAGTGTATAGAAATGCTACTGATTTATGTATGTTGATTTTATACCCTGCAACTTTGCTGTAGCTGTTGATTGTTTCTAATAGTTTTCCTATGGATTCTTTGGGGTTTTCTATATATAAGATCATGTCGTCTGCAAGCAGCGAGAGTTTTACTTCTTCATTGCCTATTTGGATTCCTTTTATTTCTTTTTCCTGCCTAATTGCTCTGGCCAACACCTCCAGTACTATGTTGAATAGGATTGATGAAAGTGAGCACCCTTGTCTTGTTCCTGTCCTCAGAGGGATGGCTTTCAGTTTTTGTCCATTGAGTATGATGTTGGCTGTGGGTTTGTCATATATGGCCTTTATTATGTTGAGGTACTTTCCTTCTATACCCATTTTATTGAGGGTTTTTATCATAAATGGGTGTTGGATCTTGTTGAATGCCTTCTCTGCATCTGTTGAGATGATCATGTGGTTTTTGTTTCTCATTTTGTTAATGTAGTGTATCACGTTGATTGACTTGTGGATGTTGAACCATCCCTGTGTCCCTGGTATAAATCCCACTTGATCATGGTGTATAATCTTTTTGACGTATTGCTGTATTCGGTTTGCCAGAATTTTGTTGAGAATTTTTGCATCTATGTTCATCAGTGATATCGGCCTGTAGTTCTCCTTCTTTGTGTTGTCCTGGTTTGGGGATCAGAGTGATGTTGGCTTCACAGAATGTGTTGGGGAGTACTCCATCTTCCTCAGTTTTCTGGAATAGTTTGAGAAGGATAGGTATTAAATCTTCTTTGAATGTTTGGTAGAATTCTCCAGAGAAGCCGTCTGGTCCTGGACTCTTATTTTTGGGGAGGTTTTTGATTACTGTTTCTATTTCTTTACTTGTGATTGGCCTATTCAGATTCTCCATTTCTTCCTGGTTCAGTTTGGGGAGGTTGTAAGAGTCCAGGAATTTATCCATTTCTTCTAGGTTGTTCAATTTGTTGGCATATAGTTTTTCATAGTATTCACTCATGATCCCTTGTATTTCTTTGGTATCTGTTGTGATTTCTCCTCTCTCATTCCTAATTTTATTTATTTGAGATTTCTGTCTTCTTTTCTTGGTGAGTCTGGCCAAGGGTTTGTCGATTTTGTTAATTTTTTCAAAGAACCAACTCTTTGTTTCATTTTAGTTTCAATATCGTTTATTTCTGCTCTTATTTTTATTATTTCCCTCCTTCTACTGACTGTGGGCTTCGTTTGTTCTTCTTTTTCTAATTCTGTTAGGTGTCATTTGAGGTTGCTTATGTGAGCTTTTTCTTGTTTTGTGAGGTGAGCCTGTATTGCGATGAATTTCCCTCTTAGGACTGCTTTTGCTGCATCCCAAATGATTTGGTATGACGTGTTCTCATTTTCATTTGTCTCCAGATAATATTTGATTTCTTCTTTAATTTCTTCAATAATCCATTGTTTGTTCAGTAGCGTGTTGTTTAGTCTCCACATTTTTGCACCTTTCTCTGCTTTATTCTTGTAGTTGATTTCTAGTTTCACAGCATTGTGATCAGAAAAGATGCTTGATATTATTTCAACTCTCCTGTATTTATTGATGCTAGCTTTGTTTCCCAAAATATGGTCTATTCTTGAGAATGTTCCATGCGCACTTGAGAAGAATGTGTAGCCTGCTCTTTTTGGATGAAGTGTTCTATATATATCTATTAAGTCCATCTGGTCTAATTTTTCATTTAATTCTATAATTTCCTTGTTGATTTTCTGTCTGGATGTTCTATCCATTGGTGTTAATGGGGTGTTGAGGTCCCCTACTATTATTGTATTGTTGTTGATGTCTTCTTTTAGTTCTGTTAAGAGTTGCTTCACAAATTTTGGTGCTCCTGTGTTGGGTGCGTATATATTTACAAGTGTTATGTCTTCTTGGTGGAGAGTCCCTTTTATCATCATATACTGTCCCTCTTTGTCTTTCTTTACCTGTTTTGCTTTGAAGTCTACTTTGTCTGATATTAGTATAGCGACACCTGCTTTCTTTTGTTCATTATTAGCTTGGAGTATTGTCTTCCATCCCTTCACTCTCAGTCTGTGTTTGTCTTTGGGGCTGAGGTGTGTTTCCTGGAGGCAGCATATTGTTGGGTCTTGTTCTTTGATCCATCCTGCCACTCTGTGTCTTTTGATTGGAGAGTTCAATCTATTTACATTTAGAGTGATTATTGAAATGTGGGGGGCCTACCACTGCCATTTTATGTCTTGTTTTCCGGTTCTCTTCAATTTCCTTTGTTTCTCGTCCCATGGTTTAATCTGTTCTGAAGGAGAGCTGCTACTCTCTGTTGTTGTCCTTCTACTTATCTCCTTTGCTCTTGGTTTTGTAGTCCCTTTCCTTTTTTTTGATTTTTCAGGAATGAGGGTTTTCCTGAGCATTTCTTGAAGAGGAGGTTTGGTGGCAATGAACTCCCTTAATTTTTGTTTATCTGGGAAAGTTTTTATTTCTCCATCGTATTTGAATGATATTTTCGCTGGGTAGAGGATTCTCAGCTGCAGGTTTTTGTCCTTCAGATTTTTTAACATATCATTCCACTCTCTTCTAGCCTGTAAAGTTTCTGCTGAGAAATCTGCTGAAAGCCTGATGGGGGTTCCTTTGTAGGTTAATTTCTTCTGCCTGGCTGCCCTTAGTATTCTCTCCTTGTTGTTGACTTTTGCTAGCTTCACTACTATATGTCTTGGGGTTGGTCTACTTGCATTGATAAAGTTTGGAGATCTATTGGCTTCTGTCACATGAAGTTCCATCTCTCTCCCCAGGTTTGGGAAGTTCTCAGCCATTATTTCTTTGAATAGGCTTTCTGCCCCCTTCTCCCTCTCTTCTCCCTCTGGTATACTTATAATCCTTAGGTTGCATCTCCTAATTGCGTCAGATAATTCTCGGAGAGTTTCTTCATTTCTTTTTAGTCTTAGCTCTCTCTCCTCCTCTGCCTGCAGCATTTCTATATTCCTATCTTCCAAATTGCTAATTCTTTCCTCCATATTATTAGCCCTACTGTTCAGTGCGTCTAGATTTTTCTTAATCTCCTCTATTGTGTTCTTCATTTCCAGTATTTCTGTTTGGTCCTTCTTTATAGTATCGAACTCTTTTGTGACATAGCTCCTGAACTCGTTGAGTTGTCTATCTGAATTCTCTTTTAACTCATTCAGTTTTTTAATGATGGCTGTTTTGAAGTCATCATCATTTAGGTTGTATATTTCATTGTCTTTGGGATTGTTTTCTGTGTGTTTGTCATTTTCCTTCTGTTCTGGAGATTTAATGTATTTTTTCATATTGCTTGATGGTGTAGATTTGTGCCTCCGCATAGAGATAGAGTTTTGTTACTGCTTCCACTTGTTTCTACTGGTGTGGTGGGGGGACAGCTGTTTATACTGCTCCAACCAGGAACCCTATCAGCTGTTGCTAACTGGGCCTGGGCCCCTCCACGCAGTCACAGTGATCCTGTGGGTTCCCTCTTCAGCTGTGGAGGCCCTCACAGGGGGGCTTCAGACTGCTGGTGCCTACTGTTGCAGACCACCTAGACGTGCTCCCTCCTTAGGTTCTGCAGCGGTGTTATGGGCTTTCCCAGCGGCCAAGGGCAGGATCACTTATATTTGCAGCTCTGTCACTGTCGGCGCCCACAAAATCTCGTTTGTCCACTATGGGTCACAGCAGAGCTATGGGCATTTTCTACCGTCTGTGGTTAGCTCGCCTAGCTATGCTACTTTTGTCCCAGGGTCTTCCAGCCTTGTGGTTGCCGGATGGGTGCTCTCTACTAGTGCTGTGCAGAGGCTTTCACTGAGGCTTCTGTGAGACTGTAGAGTTTCCCCCTGGGCCACAGAGCCAGGTCACTGGAACTCCACCCAGCCCCAGTCCTCTCCCCTAGGATCTCAGAGAGCCCATTGCCCTGTCTGGGGGATATCCGGATACCTTGAGTTCAGTGGCAGCTGGTCGGTTGCTGCCCTGCCTGGGATTCTCCTCTTTGGGACCCTCCCTGTGTTGTGGATGCTGGGCGGGGCCTCTCTGATAATGGCCGGTAAAGACTCTGCCTGCTGCCGAGACGGAACTCTAGAGTTTCTCCCCTGGGCCGCGTAGCCAGCCGCTGGATCTCCACCCAGCCCTGGTCCTCTCCCAGGAGATCTCCGGTGGTCCCGAGCCCCTCCCGGGCGAAAGCCCGGTCATTGGAGCCGGCAGCGGCAGCTGGCGGGCCGCCGCGCCATTTGGGAGAGCCCCCAGGCGTTGTGAAGGCTGGGCGGGACCTCTCCGCTAATGGCGGGTAGGGGTTTTCCCCACCACCTCTGGTGTGTAACTCTGTAGCTTCCCTCTGGGCTCAGGTGTAATTGCGGGGGGCTTAGGTAGGGCTCTGTTCACCTGTTTCCACGGTCACTCCTCTGGTGTGTGCTCCCTCCTGCCCTTGGCATGTGGCGATGTTCTGGGGCATCCGCTGGAAGAAAGCCGCCCGCAAGCTCTAGGCTGTTCGGGGGTCGGGGTCGGAGAGTTTTCACCTATCTCCACCTCCTTCTGGAGGGAAGTCCGTCCGCCTTCCGATGTATAGCATTTTAGGTCTCTCCGACATCCTGAGATGCTATATAGATATCCTTTGTCAAGTGATGAATGTCCAATTAGTTGTAGATTCGAAAGGGGAGAGACAAAGAAGTCTGCTTACGCCGCCATCTTGGATCATCCCCCCCTATTTCTTTCTTTTTTTAAGATTAGCACCTGAGCCAACATCTGTTGCCAATCTTTTATTTATTTTTTTAAATTTTTTACTTCTTCTCCCCAAAGTCCCCCAGTACATAGTTGTATATTCTACTTGTACGTCTCTCTGGTTGTGCTATGTGGGATGTCTGCTCAGCATAGCCTGATGAGCGGTGCCATGTCCGTGTAATTTTATATTTTAAAAACCTACATCTTGGGGCCGACCCTGTGGCCGAGTGGTTAAGTTCGCACGCTCCACTTTGGCAGCCCGGGGTTTCACTGGTTCAAATCCTGGGTGCAGACATGGCACCGCTTGTCGGGCCATGCTGAGGCGGCGTCCCACATGCCACAACTGGAAGGACCCACAACTAAAAGTACGCAACTATGTACTGGGGGCTTCGGGGAGAAAAAGGAAAAATAAAATCTTAAACCCCAAAAAACCTGCATCTTTTACAGATGATTTGCACCTGGGAGCCCAATGAAACACTCTAGCTAGGCCATTTAGTATCCCTCTACTTGTAAAATGGAAGTAGCAATTAGTAGTTAATTTTACAAAGCAGCTTTAGTAAGGGCTTAATGTTTTCTGTAAAACAACTTAATGTTTTTTTCCACTATTATAAAACTAATACACACAGTAGAAACTTTGGAAAATTAGGCGAGAAGAAAATAAAAACCTCCTGCATCCTAATTTGCTGAGATAATTATGATTCCTTTGCTGTATCGCCTTCCTTCCAGACTTTTCTGTGTACATACTTGCTTCTCTGCCCATCTTGCTATATATGCTCTTCCCTTAAGGAGTCATGACAGAGGTTTGTGCCACCTGCTGGGGGAACAGCTGGGGGCGCTAGTGTATGGCTTCTTCTCCCTCAGCCCCTGGCTTCTTCAGGTGTCTTCTCTTCCTGATCTGAAAGCCACACCCCAGTAGGCCAACCCTACCGAGAAAGGGCTGGAGGGGGAAAGAGACAGTGAAGAAGTTCTGAGCCCAACAAGGGTGGAGAAGATGCCCGCGCACAAGGTGGGGCGGGGCAGAGGAGGGGGAGGGAATGGATTCAGAGAAAATGGGCGGGGGTGCTCTTCTCCCACCTGTGCCAGGTCCCAGGGGAAGCTGCCAGAAGAGGAGCAGAGCTGGCCTGGCCAGGTCCCTGCAGCTCAGCTTCCTTTGACAGGCATGGCCTTTTCGGTGTTGGTGGTCCTGCTCCTGGCTGTGTTGTATGAAAGCATCAAGGTTGGCAAAGCCAAGCTGCTCCACCAGGCTCTGATGAGCCTGTCCATCCCCACCAGCCAGCAGCTCATCGAAGAGATGGACCAGGATTCTTCAGGCTCAGACTCACCTCCAGTGAGCAAAACCCGCCTCAGGTAACAGGCATGGGGTGTGGAGAATGGGCGGAGGGCTCACATTCACCGAGAGGTCGGCTGGGCCCATAGGGCATTGGCCCCACTTCACAGAGAGGAAATTGAGGCCCAGGGAAGGACCAGGACTTGCCTAAGTGCTTACAGTCAGTAAGTAGTGAAGGGAACTAGAGCTCCAGCCTTCTGGCGCCCAGACCAGGGCTCTCTATGAACAGCCACTGGGAGGCTCAGCTCTCAGAACTCTGGTACCAGCCTCAGTCTAGCAACAGGGCTGTCCACCCAGCCCGCCCCCAAACCCACCAGGCTTCCTTAGGTCACTAAGGCTTCAAACCCAGCGTGGGACCTGCAGCTGTCCCTACACAAGTGATAAGAATTGCTGTCAGGAATGTATCCAACCTGGGGGGCACGGGGGTGGGGCAGCCTCTTCTCTCCTTTCTTCCCTTCCCATTCTGATAGGACAACCATTTAGGGTCCCAGTTCTGCCTGCTCTCCAGCTGTGCTTAATGAGCCTGCCTGCTCCTTACATGGGTGTCTCAAATATTCACAACCACCCTGCAAGGGCAGTATTCTTATTCCTGTTTTACTAATGAGGAAATTTAAGTTGAGAGAGGTTCAGACATCAGTGCTAAGCCACAGTTAGTAAGTGGCAGAGCTAGGAAGTGATCTATCCCCAAAGTCCGTGTTCTTTCCATTGTAATACTGCCTCCCACAGTAGATTCAGGAAAAAAAAAACTACCTTACTGATGATTTTGTATTATCCCTGTCAGACATGATGGATTATATATATCATCATTTTCCCTTTTCCCCAGGATGCCAGGAAGCTCAGAGCTAAAGTGATTATTCTAGGCTCCTGGTACAAGTCCCTTTCTCCTCTCTATCAATGGTTTCTGATATGTCTCTTTAAAAAGCAGTCTCTTCTGGGTCAAACATACAAATTATAAATAAGCTGGTCCTGTAACTGAGCTGTTCCTCCTACTTCCTGACACCAACTCCTGGCTTCCAGCTCCTTCCCATTAACTTGGCTCTCCTTTTATCTAGGTGGTTTTTGTGTCACTTTGGCCAGTCGCTAATCCATGTTGTTCAGGTGGTCATTGGCTACTTCATCATGCTGGCTGTCATGTCCTACAACACCTGGATTTTCCTCGGTGTGGTGCTGGGCTCGGCTGTGGGCTACTACCTAGCCTACCCGCTTTTCAGCATGGTTTAGCTGGTAAGGGCTGTGCAGGCACCGAAGGCTGGAGAGAGCTGGGGCTCCCTCTTCCAGACATTGAACTTCCAGTCCCACGTCTCCATTTTCTTCTGACGGCTGTTCCTCGTCTCACTCCCAGCTTCTGGAAACTTGCAGCTGACGCCAGCACTTGCTCCCTGGAGTTCAGAGGCCATTGCACCTACCTCTCTCCTCAGCCAGCCAGCCCAGGCCTCATCTTCTTGTGCCTTAAGAAGGCTGCTGTGACCAGAGGGAGAATGGAGAGAACAGAACCTGAGGGCACGGTTGCTGAGGCCGTGATGACTTATCTCTGTGACTCAAAACTTAAGAATTCCCGGAGCCAGTCCTGACGGCCTAGCGTGTTAAGTTCAGCACGCTCCGCCTTGGTGGCCTGGGTTCAGTTCGAGGGTACAGAACCACACTATGGTCTGTCAGTAGCCATGCTGTGGCAGCAGCTCACATGGGAGAACGAGGACTTACAACTATATACAACTACGTCCTGGGGCTTTGGGGCGTGGGGGAGGAAGCCTGGCAACAGATGATAGTGACGGGTGAATCTTCCCTTGCAAAAACAGAACAAACTTAAGAATTCCCAAAGATCTACAAGACAGGGAGGTGGGTTCTGGGTGATGAGGAGCATGGAAGCTGGCTCCCCTCTGCTCTCCCGATCAGTGCCTTATCTAGAGGAGCATCTTCTATTGGACTTCCTGACCTCTTCTGTCTTTGGGGCCAGAGACAAAGCTGACTCCTTTTTCTCACCCATCTGCCTTTGGAACACATGAAGATTGTCTCTTCTGGGATCATGTTGACAAACTAAAATTTCTCATTTTTCCTACTGAACTCCTGCTTGGCAATTTTGCACATTAATACAGAACAATGTTTTTTTGGTTTTGTTGTTTTTTGAGGAAGATTAGCCCTGAGCTAACTGCTGCCAATCCTCTTTTCGCTGAGGAAGACTGGCCCTGAGCTAACATCCGTGCCCATCTTCCTCTACTTTATATGTGGGATGCCTACCACAGTACGGCATGCCAAGCGGTGCCATGTCCGCACCTGGGATCCGAACTGGTGAACCCCCGGCCGCCAAGAAGCGGAACATGTGCATTTAACTGCTGTGCCACCGGGCCAGCTCCCAGAACAAAGTTTTTAGTGAAATGATTTCATTGTATTCATGATGGATGGCAGCATCTGCTCGGACCTGTTCCCCTTTCTTAGGGGAAAGTAAGTAGCAGCAGAGTGAAGGCAGAGAAGCAGGACTGTTTTCAAGGCTCCTGACTTATCCTCTGGACGGAGCAAGCTCTTGCCATCAGACTGCACTGCCTGCGGGAGGAAGAGAGTCTAATGGCTTTAGGTGTCTGGGGGCTCGTTATGGCCTAATGCCCACTTTTGTCCTGATCCTCCTCCTGCGCAGAATAGAGAACTGCACTGAATAATAGTTAATACTTAATGTTCTCTATTAACTTACTGCTCACACGTAACAGTCTGGTGGGGAAATGCGATTCATTCATTTAAATCCCGAGTAAGCCTCGGGGGTATTGACTGAAGATGCCATAAGCAGTCAAACCAAAGCATTCCATTTGTAGAGTTAGATGGGACGCTCCAGATATTTGAATCTCTTCACTTGATAGGAAAGGAAACAGACCCAGGGAGAGAACGTCGCTGCTGTATACTGTAACGTCTGTGTTCAAGTACCTCACGGGATAGAGGAAAGATGGTCTTAAGTTTTGGGAATTAAAAGAAAAATATCTTTTAATAAATATATATTTTTAAGCAATGTGTGACCATACTTTTGTTTCTCCTCATTTGAGCAGCGAGCACACATAGCCCTTACAACTGCAGAATTGAGTAGGGCGAATGGAGCTGGTGGTGCTGGCTGTCGGGCTGTCTAAGGACTGAGTCTGTCCATCCGCTATGAAGATGACAACTCTGCTCAGGGAAGCCCAGCCCTGAAATGCTGAGCCCACAGGCAGACACCCCACAAGGCCAGCTTGGTCAACAGTCATTCTTTTGTTCATAACAAATGTTGACCAGGTACCTCCTATGAGAAAAGTGACTGTCACATGGATTAGAAACACCCATGTTAGCAGGATTATTAGTACCGTCCCTCCCTGAGGGCAGAAGCAAAAATACATCAAAGCCACTTTTTAATTTACAGTAAGTGTCACAGAAAGTACAGTATGTGACACCTTCAGGATTGATCAGTGCATTCTCCCCACATATGCAGGGAATTGGAAAGCTGCTCTGTCACAACAGGTGGGAAGACTTCCCAGGTCCAGTGTAGTCTTGCTGATGGAGCCTCACTCATCCATTTCTATGTCCTGACCAGCTAAGGCTCCCTCCCCTGGGGCACTAAGATGAGTATCTCCATGGGTGATCCACAACCTCTTCAATTTGATATACGGTCACTTTACATGTGTAATACATTTGAGGCTTTTATAGTAGAGAGGGCTTTTAAAAGATCTGTGCTCTAGAGAGAGGCTTATATGGTTAGATGCAGGAGGCATTTCAACATTCTTCAGAGCCAAGTCACAAGAGGTGGCGTTTTCTCCACTTAAATTTTTTTTCAATTGAACAAACACCTCTGTAGTCCTGTTGATGTGCCAGGCAGTGTTCTAAGCACTTTACAATATTAATGCATTTAATCCCCACAACAAAGTAGAAACTACTTTTGTCCTTGTCTTAGAGATGAGGAAGCTGAGGCACAGAGAAGTTAAAGTCACCCAGCTAATAAGTGGCAGAGCTGGACAGTCGGGCTGCCTTTGTACATGGGGATAAGAGTGACTTCTGCAGGGGTTGCTGGAGATGAGACAGTGTGTGTAAACTGCTGAACAACAGTGCCATTTGTCACACAACAAAATCCAGTAAATGCTAGTTCTTGCTGCCTCCCAGCCCCACATATGGGAGGACAGGCTCAAAGCTGTCATCACAAAGATGATGTCAGGCCAGATGAAGTGGAATTTGGGTTCTTATAAACATTTAAAATCAGGAAACATTTGTATTAAATGATTCTACTTTTTGAAGACTAGTTGCATGGTCTTTGGAAGATCCCAGAATAAGTAAAATGATCATGAATATTTTTCTCACTACTGTTCTCCTCACCAGTCCTGGGCCCAAGTTCAGAGGGAATGGAAGCTGCTCTCTAAGTGAGGAATCTTTAGGTGCCATGATGGATGACAGTGGAAGGCAGGGACCCTTCCACCTTCTCTGCAGGCTTGCTAGGGTATAGAACCAAGTCTGCATGAGTGAGTGGATGACAGAACTGGTCCTCAGACAACCACAATGCCCTGAGCCTTAATGCGGCTGAGATGAGCTAGGATAGCAAAGTGGTGACTTTCTTTGAAAACCTAAAGTTCCAGGGTTAGGTACCAAAGGGAATATGTCACACTGCTTTTATGCATGTTAACTGACCCACATCTGTTACAACTCCTACCCTTAGTTCCCAGAGAGGAGCACAGACAGCCCTTAGAACCAAATTCAGTTTCTCCCCAAGAGCTTGAGCCAAGTGTCAATAAAGACATTTATTTTAGTTAATTTCAAATATTCATTGACCTCTTGTATCAGATTTAAGGCAAAGAAAAGATACATGTCCCAGGATTGCAGGCAAGGCTGTTAACTGAACCGGGGTTCAGATGGTATAATCCATCCTTGGTTCCACCAGGGACACCTCACCCCAGGTGACAGGTCCTGCTGCTGGGGCAGAGTTGAGCACTGGGAGGCAGATCAGTCTGAGAGTTAGTGGAAAAAAAAACGCTTGGAGGAGGGCAGACTCTTGTAGGTGGCCAGCTGGAGGGGAACCTACCAGCCCTTCCTCCAAATTGAGGTGGGACCGCGGTCGCCTGCTGAAATGACAAGCCCAGCGTTCTGAAGACAGGCTCATCGTCCTCTTCACTCGGCCGGGCGGGGGCTCCAAAGCTGGCTAACTCAGATATCTGAACTCCTGTCCTCAGAATGCTCACCTTCACCTCACCCTGGGGCTCGTCTAGACCCAGGGCTGGCTGTGCAAAATCATGCTTAGGGAAGGGGTGGTAGAGAAGCCTTTGCACCAGTTTCCTGGGTCTTCATCCCAGCCAGTCAATGTCATCGTCATCATCATCATCTCCAAAAAGGGGTGTTGGGGGCGGGCGTCCCTTCATGCTCTGACAAAACAGGAAAGAGTAGTCAGTCCTCTCTTGTCCCCGCACCAATAGACTTCCCACCTCGGCAAGGTGAGGTGAGCCAACATCTCTTCCCGGCTCCAGGTTGGAAAGGAGGGTGTTGGTTAGGGTTTTACTGAAAGGACTAAGCCTGAGGCCAGCAAACCTAGGCTTCCAGAAAAAGCTGAGACGAGCCTGCAGAGAAGGGAGGCAATCTTTCAACACAGAGACAAGAAGACCAACTCTGTTTGGCTGATTTTGTCATTTATTTGTGAAGCACATGTGTTGATTTGACAGGCTTCCTCTCATGCGATAACTTACAGATTCCGTGTGCGGAAAGAAGGGTCGAAGGGGAGAGATGGGAGTAAGAGAAAGAAACAGAGAAGCAGAGCAGCCCTAAGGGAGGAGGATGCAGGAAGATGAAGGGAGGTTGAAGAATACAGTCACATTTGAAAAAACACTTGGTGTGGCCTAAAGTGGCCTGTCTGGCTCTGGACGTGGCCCCACCATTTAAGAGAGTCGAACTGAGAGGCTTGATTACATTACCAAGTGGAGAATCCCAAGAGATGAAGAAAGCCCAGGAACACAGGGCCACAGCCTCCCACACCCCTGGTCTCACTGGCCCCTCCCTCGCCCTCCAACCTGGTAGGGGGACAAGGGGGATTAACAGGCCACGGAGGAGACGCTCCTCGCTTTTCATGATTTCAGCTCCTAGCCTTTTTCTTCTGGACTGGCAGGGCACAGGTCCCATGGGGGTAGCGGGGCTGATGCTGGAGATGCGCACACACTCAGTATTCTCTACGAAGGTGCTTTTGCCCTGTGAGTTACTCTGGCTCAGGATGAGTATGCACAAGGCTGGCCAAATGGAAGGCAGGGTGACACTCAGAGGTCCCTAGGCTAACCCCATCTCCACCACCGACCAACAGACCTGTATCTCTCTCTGGGTATCGTTAAGTGATCTCTAAACTCTGACAGCACAGGATTTTAAAATGTGGTTTGCTGTTTCTGTTTTGTTCCCGCTAAGGTTCTGGCTCTACATTTACCAGCTATATAACTTTGACCCAGCTATATAGCCTTGGGTATGTTATTTAACCTCCCTGAGCCTCAGTCCTCTTTTCTATAAAATGGGATAAAAGTACCTACCTCACAGGGTTACTAGAGGATTAAATGAGAATCTCTGTGAAGTAGTTTTCAGAGTACCCAAGAAATAGAAGTTAACTTCATGGTAAGAGTATTAATACCAATAATGTACCGCTAATTTAAAAATTCCAACTATATTTAGGGCAGTCACTTGGGATACTCAATTGGTTTTTCTGATCTTTTTTTTCTCTTTGAGGAAGATTAGCCCTGAGCTAACATCTGCCACCAATCTTCCTCTTTTTTGCTGAGGAAGACTGGCCCTGAGCTAACATCCGTGCCCATCCTTCTCCACTTTATATGTGGGACACCTGCCACAGCACGGCCCAACAAGCAGTGCCATGTCCGCACCCGGGATCCGAACCAGCAAACCCTGGGCCGCAGAAGCGGAATGTGCAAACTCAACCACTGTGCCACTGGGCCAGCCGCTTTGTTCTTTGTTCTTAAGCGCAGAATTCATATTCAGAATTCTCAAATGAAAATTTAATTCTTGGGAAGGCTAACGGGAAGAACTGGTGCACTCTCCCCAGAGGAGCAGAGGCAAGACGGGGCGGCCTGGCGCACGGGCTGGGTCCCAGCCCTGTCACTGCCTCCTCCCCAAGGTTTTGGCAAAAGGCAAACCTACTCTGGTTAACACATGAGAGGACAGAATTTGCCCCATTCACCTCATATTTCTGTCCTTGGGGACAGACTGAGCCTGAAGCTGATCTGTGCTCTCCACCAACGTTTCACTCTAGTGCAGTTCCCATCACAGCAGTCGAATGCCCCAGCGACAGCCAGGAATGCTTTAACTTCGCACAATGGGGAAGGGCAGGTGCGAGAACTGGGGTCTGATCCAGGCAGCGACTCGCCCTCCTGGCCTTCACTCTGGAGCTTTGTAAAGCGAGGCGATGCTATCAGCCCTTAACTCATTTTCTGCCCTGGCACATTGTGATGACAAAACAAGACAGCAGGTTGGAAAGCAGGCCGAGGAAGCAGAGATTGCTCAGAAACAGGTGGCCTTAGTAGGAGCCTGGGTTTTAGGCCTGGCTCCGCCATGAACTCCCTCTGTGGCTTTAGGCAAATCATCCTCCTGAGGCTCAGTCTGTCTGTGAATAAGGATGCCAGACAAGATCCTCAAAGTCCTTTCCAACTCTAAAATATAAATAATATCCTAGTGGATCTGAGGAAAGCTGAGGCTTTAGCAGCCAAATTTTCTTCACTTTAAGTGGAAATAATTCCTGTGTGGACAGAGATTATGACCCCTTTTCAAGAATAAAGTGGTATCTGACCATCCCCACTCTGCTTACCGAGCTGCCCCCTGCCAGCCCCAAGCCTGCTCCCACAGGGCCCTGCACACAGCGCCCAGGGAGTGGGCCACCAACAGACTCCATGTCTCTTCTCAGAGCCAGTGGGGAAGGGTCCCCAGGTGGTGGCAAGAGGACTCGGCAGCGCCTGGGATTTCCTTACCACCTCGTCTTCATCCTCCTCCTCGGGCTGTGCTTTGGGTCTCAGAACTTTCAGAGTTGCCCCTTTAAACAGTTCATCGTCTTCATCCCCAGAGAGACTGAAAAATCAAGAAGATCAAGTCAGAAAATGCTGTTCCTGCTCCAGGCCACAGTGCCCACAGGCTCTGGGGTGAGAGGCCAAGAGCTGTGGTAACCACCCAGGAGATCCCATCTCTTCATGGCCTCCCAGTGCTCTGGACTCCCTCCATGACCTGCAGCCAGAGCGAGCTTGTAAGGCTAACTGATCAGACCGCATTGCTCTTCTGCTTAAATCCCTTTTATAGCTTCTCGTTGTACATAAAGTCCAAACTGCTAACAGTGACACAAAATCTCACGTGAATTGGTCCCTACGGAGTTTTTCGACCTCAGCTTAACACCACTCTCCTCCTATTTACTGTCCCTCTTTTAGCTCCTTGATTGTGTCACGTCCCCTCCTTCCGCAGGGCCTCTGCACATGCTGTCCTTGCTTTCTGCCATCTCTCCCTCCCGCTCTCGGCAGGGAAGGCTCCTTTCCAGCCTCAGGTTTCAGTGTAAACGTGACCTTCTCAGAATCCTTCCCTAACCACTCAATCTAAAGTAGAACAACTCCCCCTTTATTCTCTATTATACATCCTGTTTTGTTTTGTTTTTTAAGCACTTATCATATCTTTATAGTATATAAGTATTTGTCTTCCCCACTAGACTATAAGCTCCTTAACTCAGGAACCAACTCTGCCTTGCCTACCACACTATCATGGGGCCTACCACAGAACCTGTGACATAGTAGGTATTGTTGAATAAATACACAAATGAAGGAATGAATAAGTGAACCAGTGAGTCAAGTCAGTTTCTGAGGATGAGTTGCCAGCCCTGGAAAAACCAGAGACAACCTCCACACAGCCACCTTGTTCCTGAAACTCTGCTCCGGGGCACATACCTGGAATGCTGGGTACAGGGGGCTGCTCCTGCAGCTGGAGAACCTGCCTCTGGGTTCGATAACTCCTTGGAGGGACCAGCGGAGCTAGTGACAGCCTCCTCTTTCTTGAGTTCTGGAGGCTGAGGCTCTCCTCCTGGACTTTCAGGCCCTAAGGCCAGTGGGTTCCCCTTCTCGGGGTCTGAAGTCAGGGACAGTCTCGGGGAGCTTTCTTGCTCCCCAACACAGGGATTTCCCAATGGGCTGGCAGCAAGTGTTTCCTCACACTCAGAGTCCACAGTTACAGGGCCCGGAGGCTTCGGGGGAATTGAAGTCGGGGGCCCCAGAGCTCTTTGGGAGGGGATGCAAGCCAGTTCCGGTGGGAGGGAATCACCCTTCATCTCCGAGAGCGCCTCTGCTTCTGAGGGCTCCACTTCTCTTCTCTGTATTTCATCCTGGGGACAGGAGAGGGCCTGAGGAGGCAATGGGAGCGCTTCCTCGACTGCATGCTCTGACGACCCCATGGAGGACTCCCGCCTCTCCCTATTCAGGGCTGCTTGAGACAGTCCAGAGCTGGCTGAGACTGACTGCTCCTGGGAAGGTCCTGGAGGCCGCTCCTCTCCTCCTTCCTCTTCTTCATGGCTGCTCTCTCCCTTCTCTCGCTCGTGCTGGTTTAACAGCTGAAGAGTCACCATCTGCTCAAAAGCCAAGGAAGAGGAGATGGTCACTGACAGGAAAACAGCAGCCACTCCTAGCCCTGCAGTCCTTACTGACACAACTGGTCATCTAGTTCAAATGACTGCTTCTTCCTCTCATAGGAGACTGCCCATATCTGTCCAGATAAAAGTCATTCCAGGCATCCCAATTACTGACGAACCGTCATGAATAATTTTTTATTGATGATCCCTTAGAAGGTACTTAGCAACAAGATACCCATTTCAATGCATCAAGCAACCACTGGCTGTACCTTGATTGTATGCATGATGGTTCCCAGAATGGTCCTGCCATCGTAAGATTCCTCCAGTTCAAACTCTCCCCGCAAGTCATGGAATACCTGGTTCATGATCTTCTTGACCTGCATGAAGATGTGGGGAGAGAAAACAGTATCAAAATGCAAGCTGCCAAAATTAAGTGGTAAGGGATGCATGTAAATTCCAGAGAGGGGTCTGCAAGGCTTGAATGAAGCCACTTAGAACTCTGCAGAGGAACACAGCTGGCCATGAACCTCTGAGACACTGCAGGCTGTCACTGTGGCGAGGACAATGTTAAATAATGAGCAGCACTTGACAGGAGGGCCATCAAGGACAGGGAAGCTGTGGTACATGTGCCCAGGGCCGCATTTATTGATGCCTCTCTCCCACCGCGACCACCATTAGAGCTGCCACGGGCTAGGAGATGCTGGGCACACTGTCCACTCCTCTCCCGTGATGGAGAGGCACTTCCCACATCTGCCACAACCTCAGGATAGGGCCCTTTGGGGTTTGACGCCAAAGTGACAGGTTCCAAAGGGTTAATTTTTACTTAAGTCAGACAAGTATTATCTGTATTGCTCAAGTTAAGAAAAAAGTTATCAACACAACAAACTGGCCACATTCTTTCTGAATACCTGACATGCACATTCAATCTCTTGAGATGACACGGTTTGCTGCTTCTTCAAAATACCAGCTCACCTTCTCTGAGGGGTCAGAAGCAGCAGCTTTAACCCCAGACATCTGGGACTTGTTCTTCTCCAGGTCCCTGAGGTGGTGTTCGTTTTGCTCTGTCAGGGCTGTGACTTGGGCCTGGAGGGCTGAGCACTGCAAAATGAACAGATGTGGCTATGCCCTCGGGAACCTGGACTAGAGGTGAAAGTCAGGAACCCCAGGGCGAGGAGAACCATCTAAGAATCATGTGTTAACCTCACAGGGGTTTGCTGCTGTCCACACCAGCCACCCCCACTCCAGGCCTGCTGACTCAGAACATTCTATTTCCTCATCACTCAGTCTCAACTCACAACTTCTCCTCCACTTTCCCAACAAGGCCATTTGCCTCGTTCCTAATCAGGTCAAGAATAAAATGAAAAAAGAGGGGTATAACTCTATTCACACAGCGATATGAACACTGGACATGAGAAACGACCTATTCACTTCTAAGACTGCCTGCCTCATCTCTGAATCACAGATTTTCAGCTGGCTACTTGAAGGAGAAAATGACCTCCAGATATGGGGACTTTCACAGCATGGCCCTAAGCCATCTCCTGTCTCTCTCGTCTTATGCCAGATGGCCCACCATCCCCACGCTCCATCCCATCGGTGCCTTTGCCCAGCATTATCTGCCGCCTTCTCCACCTGACCAAAGCTGCTTGTCCTTCTTTGCTCTGCTTCCCTATGCACTTCCTCTTCTGGGCCTCACAGCACTTAATGCTTCTCTTTCTTTCTCTCTCTCCCCCTTTCTTGACTGTGAGGTTCCTGAGGGCAAAGTTCTTTATAAGCCCTTCTCCTAACACATTGCCTGGAACACAACTGGCATACAATAAGTATTTGCTTAACATATGAAGGATCAAATAATAATGGAAAACATGTTCCAGAACACTATGCTGCTTTTTCTTTTTCTAGGTCACTCACCTGTCAGCCCAAACAAGTATGGGAAAGATTACCGAAGAACTAAGAGCTGAACAAGTCTGGTTTTGTTTTCAAGCTATTAACATCTTTTAGGTTCAAAAGGATCTACAAGACTCAAACAACCTGTTTGCCTCAAATTAACTGGGCTGCCTACGCCCTCTGGCCCAGGAAAACACCTACCTTTTCCTGCAGCTGGAGCAGCTTCTGCTGGTTGGCATCTCTCTGCGCACACACCTCCTGGTACTGCTGCAGGTGTTCATCCTTGGCGGAGGCCAACAGATGTTCACACTTCGCTTCCCACTGGGTCTGTAGCTCAGCCTGTACTAGAGACAGCTGCCAAGAGAGAGTAATCACCATACCTGGGGGATCCAGTCACTCCTAGGGAAGCCCATCTTTTATAAGGCAAAAAAAAGTAAGCTAACAGCCCAGATTTAACAGGGAAACAACCGTCTGAAAGACCTTGATTACTTTGAAAAATACTCCAATCAGATAAAGGTGTGACTGTCCAGACAGTCCCTAGAGGGCAGGGCAATAATGTCATCATACTTTTCGGGGTCCGGCCCTCAGCTTCATAGGTTCAGAAGAAACGTTCCTGTCAAAATTCCCAGAGGTGATCAAACTGAGGGAACCAATTCACTCTAATTAAACATACAAACATGAATTTATGAACTTACAAGGAGGAAGGCTGCTGTCAAATGGACGAGATCCGGCTGTATCCTGACACTCTCCCTGGTTTACCTGCCTGATTACCTAAATAAATCTCTTCTTTTCAAGGATGATAATGTGCCTGAAGGATGGTGTCTGGTGGTTGACGACACTGGCCTTATCATGTTTGGAATTCTTTGCCCCCCCCACCCCATGTTTTACTTATATAACTAAATTTTCACTAAGCTTTAAAAAAGGAAAGAACATTCTCCATTTGACATCTGGCTTATCTGCATATATCTGGATTGCCTTCTTCCACCTTTCTCCAAAGTGAGAGCATCAACTATGAGAAATGTCAGCCTAAAGAATAAGGAAGCAACTAGAAGCTTTTCTGAGTCCGTCCTGGCTTCCTTTTATTTCCAAAGTGCTTCAGTTTTCCATTACCTGCTCTGCGGTGGCCTGGTCTGTGGACACCCGAGCCTTTTTCAAGAGCTGTCGAAGTTTGTCCAATTCCTCCTGGTAGGACTTGCGAATTTCGTCTATCTCCTCTTCAGCCTGACAGCGCTCTTGAGCTGACTTCTTTTTCCTTTCTGAGAGGTTCTTAGGAACAAGAGAACCATCATCAGCTCTAGCTGTTTTATAGAGGATAAATGAGATGGTGGTGGTGGTGGCAGTTAACCTCAGAGTCCTTATTTCATTTTTAAAAACAACTCAATTTTTAGTTTAATTTTCCCTATATATTTAACATTGTTGGCTACCGGGTGAGAAAAATTGTGACAAGAAGAAGGGAAACAAGAAGAGTTTTATCTACCATTCTATTAAGAGATGGGGAACATCTGAACAGTGGTGAGGAACAGGGAAGTGGGTGGACACCCTGCTGGTAGGAAAATTAATGGATATTCTCTCTTTGGATGGCAGTTTGGCAGTCCTGTGAAAGGACTTTCAAAATACACAAACCCAGAAATTCGACAAATTATAATTTATCTTAAGGAAGCAATAAATCATCTTTACAAAGATTGTGTGTTACACATAGTGGTCACTGCACTGGTATCTATAAGAATGAGATACAGAAAACAGCCAAAAAATCAGAAGGAATGGGTTTTTAAAAACCTAATAAAATCATGGAAGAAACTGGAAATGCAGACCAAGATTTATCCCCTAAAAAAGTGCTAAGCCAAAAGTGCTTTACTAGAGGGTTTTACTGAAACCTCAGAAAATTATTTGTTCTTTTCATAGTTAACCGTTCCAGAACATATAAAAAGAAAGAAATAGTCCCACTTTGTTCAATGGGGCTAGTATTACTCTGATATTAAAATTTTAACACAACAAAAGATACTACACATAAAGTTAAACAGCAAATGAGAAAAATATTTGTAACATCTATCACTGACAAAGGATTAATACCCTTAATAGCGTTTACAAATCAAACTAATATTACAATAGGAAAGAGGGCAAAGGACATTAAAGAGAGAATTCACAGAAAAAATACAAATAGGTATTAAACATATGAAAGCTTTACTACTAACAAAAATACATAGTAAAACAAGATAGCATATTTTACCTATCAGACTATAAAGATTAGAAAAACTGATATATGCAGAGTTGGAAAAAGTACAGAGAAATGGGTTTGCTCACGCAGTGCTGAAGTGTAAGTGAGCACACTTCTTTGAGGGTAATCTGGCAATATTTATTTTAAAAATGTAGATGTGTAGCATTTCCTCTGATCCAGCAATTCTAATTCAAGCAATCCATTTTATGGAAATGCTCAAATGAATTCACAAAAATAGTTATAGTACAAGGATGTCCACAGCAATGCTTGAAAAAATAGAAACAGAAATATCCATCAATAGGCGAATAAATTAATGATACAGCCTCACAGTAGACTACTATGCAGTAGTTAAAAAGAACAATCTCATTCTTATTAGTACATTGTCCATGAGATAAAAAGAAAAGAGCATTAAACATGATCCTACTGTTAATGAATGATATCACTGTACGTTTTGTGTATTATGTTTTAGTGAGTGTATATATGTTTTATACACAGAGTCAACAATCTGGAAGGATAATCATACACAGTTTATAGTTGGTACCTCTAATGCATGAAATTAGCAGGGAAAAAGAAATTTTATTTTTTATTTTATACTTTTCTGTATTATTTGCATTTGTTATAATGAGCACATGCTACTGTTATTTTTAAAAGAAAAATACAATGTTTATTCAACAGTTAATCCTGGCCACTTGGGTCCAACAGAGCAACTTCGGTTGTAGAACTTACCTTCTCCAGAGACTCCTTCTCAGCTCGAAGGTCAGTCAGCTCCTCCTCCAGGGACGTCATCTTAAGTTCCAGCTGTCTCCGGCTTTGCTTTTCACTCTTGAATTTGGACTGTGCTTGCTCAGAGGTTTCTTGGAGCTCTGGGATATACGAGCAGAGAGACTCGGCTGTAGAAGCAGAGCTGCGGTGGGCTATACAGCATCCCAGCAGCTCCTTCAGAGCTGCACTCCCATCTCCCCATCCTACCACACAAGCGTCTTCCACTCACTTCCTTCAGCATCATTTCACTGACCAGCAATAGGTTTACCGAGCCATCAACTGACTCCTCCACCAACCCATATTTATCTCTGTAAACATGTGTCACCTTCTACACATACCAAACGGAAAAGAAATGTTCCAAGCAGTCAGAGACCACCTTCGAACATCACTCCCACAATTCCATTTCAGTCACCATCTCAACATACCACACAGATCTTTGTGTATTAGTATTGGTCCAGGCCCTTTCTCACTGCCTGGCGAAGATATTCTCAACTTTCTTGGTAGCTCAGACATTCTACCAGGAGTTTACTTTCAAAACGTCCCCTCTCAAATAAAGCAATTTGGCATATTTCTTAAAATATAACACATCAAAATTAATTTTGTTTGGAAAATTTTTGAGACCCTTAAGGTGCTCTTGCAGAAATTATCCTAGGGCACCACACAAACAGAAGAGGATATCTGTATGACATTCAAATCTAAGACTATCCCTCATGGGTACCCATGTGATGCTCTAAAATGGAAGGGATTTATCTTCAAGGTATCAGTTTACCAAGTGACATCTGTGTTTTTTAGCTTTCTTTTCATGCAAGTCAACTTGGCTTCTTCCCGACTCGGCTGCTGCTCCAGCTACACCCCGCCCACTGGTCCCATCTGTGCCTCCCACATTTGTTTCTATACACTGAGGCGGATGAATCAACATGCTGGTCTTCACAAATCTTCACTCAAATCCCCATGTCTTGAGCAGCACCTCTGGCCGGGCACTGAACTTACACTAATTTGGAGGAAAGGACTTCACAAAGATGAGCAAGACGCCATCTTTGCCCTCCAGAGGCTTGCATTCACCAGGAAAAACAGACACATAAATAGCACTTATCAAAGGCTAACTCTGCTAATGGTCATCATAATGCATTCAGAGACAAGAAGGATTTTAAAGGAGATCAAATATTCTAGAAAAAACTGGGAAACTTTCTGAAAGAGGCATATTTTGGAGAGAAGTGAAGGTAAGTATTAGTGACGGTGAGCACACCAAGTCCAGAGAACAGGAGGAATAAAAAGCAAGACAGGAACTGCAGGATGTGCTGAAGCAGCAGCAGGCTGATTAATAAGCCCAGAGCCAGGAGGAACTGAGCAACGGAACAGGAAAAAGCCAAGCTGGAGAGGCCCTGAGTGCCGGGCTGAAGGGCTGCGATCCACCCTCTAGGAAAGAGGCAACCACCACAGGAAGCACCTCCTCCTGAAGTGTCGACTTCCACTGAGCCACGAGTTCCAGGAACACACGAACTCGTCCAGGCCTGTGAGGCCAGTTACAGTACCAAAGATACTGAAGGCGACACTCTCCCAAACAAAGCGGAACTGCGGCCACTGATCAACTCTAAATGCACAGTCAGTTCTGTTGTTGTCCCTTATGTCAATCATGTAGGTTTACACTGGTCCACCTTGATTTTTGGCTCAGTCCTTCACAAACTTCCTGAGCGTTATGCCAAACGGCCTGGGAGGAAGGAAACTGCTGAATTCCTTAAGTTTAAAAGGTCAAAGTCCCAGCCCCTCCACCATGGACATACCCGAGAGCTCTGCCTGCAGTTTGGCAAGCTGGCCCCGGAGGAGGTCTGTCTCCTTCAAGCTGTTGGTCAGCTGCAGCTGCAGCTCGGTTTCCCTCTTTTGGTGAGCAGTCATTTTCAGCTGCAGATGAGAGACCTGTGCGGTGGCTGCTGCTAACTCTTCTGTCACCTTGGCCTGAATAAGTAACAAAGCATGATGTCACTTTAAACATGGGTGTTCCTTGTCTCTAAGTGAAGACCTGACCTCACATACTCCATGCTGACTGAACCGGTAGGAAGCGAGCTCAGGCCACCTTCAATCTGTATTAAACCAAAATTACGCCTTCATAATCTGCAAAGTCTCTGACTCAGGAATTCCTTTGCAGAAATTTGTCCTTAGGAAATATTAAGCAAGATTACAAAAACCTGCTACAAGGATGTTCCATACAGCACTGTTTATAGTTGAAAAAGAATGAAAAAATGCTGAAAAATGGGCTTAAGCAAATTATGATACATCTATCCTATACGCAAATATTAGAATGGTGCTGTGAAGGAACAGTTAATGGCATGGGATACAGTCACAACCTACTGTTGTGTTACCAACCTGATACATGAGAAATGGTATTCTTGCTGTTTTCTAACTTTTCTACGAACAATATGTATTTTTTTAATAAGAAAAGGATATTTTAAAATTTAAACTGAATGCCTCCACTGGCAACCAACTTCTGAGTCTATAATTTCTCCGTAGTAGTACTATAATGTAAAGATCAGACACGTGAGAGTAATTGCTTTGGAGGTTCTTAGAAGAACACAGCAAATAAAGAAGGGAATCTTTCAACTTTTTTGATTGCTCAATGTATTTTAAATGATGCTCTGTACTAGCCGAACAGGAGCTGATGAAACCAAAATGACGACCCTGGAAAACCCTCTAATGATATTCTGTGTATTAAGGGTGATGATACAAATGATGATGACAAGAATGGTCAATAAACAGGAAGGGTAAACACATACCAAACACCACACTCGCTGCACCTGCACTGATGAGACGACAGGAAGGGCCATGAGGGGCTGCTCCACTGCCGACTAGTCTGATTTTTGGACAGCCACATATTTACGGGGTTGGCCTGTCTCTCCTGTGCTGTGACACTGCTACCACCCTACTCCTCCTACACTATTATACTTGACACACAGTGTTACAGTTGTCCACTTTCTTATGACACTGGTCCCTTCTTAGGGTATTGACTGTGCGCACCACAGTTTTAAACTTATTTATTCCAAAGCCTTTGTAAGTTTTCTGGCTTTCATTCAAAATCCGATATTTTGGTTCTCCTAAAGGTGGGGAAATAAAACAAATTAAAACTGTATATGAAATAAAAAGAAATATGCTATGAATGAGTATCTGTGAGTACAGTGACAAAGACTCTCTCCGGGACCAACCTTCAGGCAGGCTCCTCTGAGCCCTTGACCTTCCATCCTGTCTTCGGCCTGACCAGGCCCAGTTTTAACACAAATCCTGCTGAGTCAGTTTAGAGAGAATCTCTCCCTTAGATATCTGATCACGTTCTTCATGCCCCACCTTTGACAGCTAAGGCCTGTCTTTAGCAAGAATCCTATTAGGTCAGGTTAGACGAATCCCCCCATCCATGATGTCTCCTCTTGGTAATTTTCCATCCACTGACCCCCTCACCCTGCTCCTTAGCTATAAATCCCCCACGTGCCCTTACTGTATTTGGAGTTGAGCCCAATCTTTCTCCCCTACTGCAACAGTCTTGAATAACGTCTTCCTTACTCTTTTAATAAGTATCAGAATTATTTTTCTTCAACAATATGCCACCTTTAGAGTGAGCTCTACGACACTTATTTTTGCTGTTCAGCAGCCTCAGGTTTTCACTGTTAAACACAGAGGACAATGGCAGCTAGAACTTCCAGAAAGAAGAGGGGTTTTCATCTGCCCCAAGTAGAATAAGTTTTACTCACTGTCCTGCCCAAATGGCCTAATGGACACTGAACTAACACAATGCTCAGAGAGCTCTGCATCTACTCGTGGCTCGAGAGTTCACTAATATCGAGCGAGGACCACTTGCACAAGGGCTTGCAGAGGCTAAGACCACTGGAGGGGATGAATCCCAGAGGTCAGGCAGTGGGATGATGGTCACTCTCTCACCAAAGGACAAGCAGAGTGGAAAGTCACTCAAAAGCTCTTTTTATCTCAGGTCCTTATATAGAAAGGCCTATTAGAAGCGTGAAAAATAATACTCTCAATCAGACACGCATGTATGTGCATAGAGAAAACAGTGAAAGGATGAATAATACATTCACAATGGTGATCTTTGAGTGGGAGGATTATGGGCAAATTATATTTTATGCTTGGTTACCTGTATTTTCTAAATTTTCTAGAATGAACAGATACAACTTTTAGAATCAGAAAAAAGTATGTGTGAATACATATATGTGTGTGTATGATTCTAATTTTTTTAAAAAGTAAAGGTTGGCAACATCAAGTCAGAAAGGAAAATACCAAAAACATACACGATGGATGGGATGGCTGCCTGGTTCCCACCCTGGGTCAAATTCTGTTGTTGACATGGAGAGCTGGGGAAAGAAAGCAACAACAAGAACCACCAAGAATTCGGAAAAACAAGTGAAAAAAACATTCAAGTTAAAAGCAGAAAAATGGTACCAAAGAGAGACCGTAAAGTGACAAAGGAAAAAGCTGACTGGAAGTGAGACCCTGGGCAAGTCTTCTACTCTTTCTGGGCCTCAGTTTGCCCTTTGTAAAATAGGAAGGTTAAACTAGATGACCTCTAAATAGCTCTTCCAGTTTTACCATTAGCCCATGGTTTCATGTGGAAATATTAACTCTGTCAGAGAGAAAAACGATTAATTTCATTTGCCATATCATATATTCATCGAGCACTTAACCATAAGTTTATGAGTTGTGTTTGAAGGCAGAGAACTGCCTCCAGGGATGAAAGGACCTTAATTAGCACCCTTTAAGAGGAGAGACCACAGGGAAGACTGTTAAGTAATTAAGAAATGGATCAAAAGAAAAACAGGGGAGAGTCGAGGCTTGCAAAGTTTCACTGAAATAAAGGTGAGCAAGCGAAGCATGTGGTACTTGGCATCTGACTCATCAAGCACAGTCATACTCAGCCCAGGAGATGCTCTCCAACAGACATGCGTAAAGCATGGCGCCGGAACCTAGTGGGGGGCTGACAGATGTTAGCTGTTATTACTGTTGTAACCACTGCTGTTTTTGCTATTACAAACAAGAGCATCTACCAGGTTCAATGCACTGTGCCAGACGCTTTTGGAGTTTATCAATATGAAACATTTGGGTGGATTAATAAGCTAATTCAGGGGGTTGGCAAACTGACCCACAGGCCTGCAGCCTGTTTTTGTAAATAAAGTTTGAATGGAACACACCCCACTGATAGTCCACATGAGAATCACATGGTGAACTGACTAAAAACAAAGGCGCCCGGCTGCCACCTCCAGAGATTGTGGCAAAAGGAATCACTGACAAGAGTTGTGACTCCTCCCTGGCTGTGTATCAGAATCAAGGGGAGTTTTTCTAAGTTCAGATTCGGACCTTGGCTAAATACGTTGAATTAGAACCTCAAGGTGAGGTTTAAGAATATTTGTTTTTAATCAAGCTCCTCAAGTGATTGTGAGGCAGCCAGACTGGTGTTTGGGAACCCACTGATCTAGAATAAGCTATAGTAATCATTTTAGACTTGAACAGTAACAGCTAGATGAAACAACATATTTGGGTACCCCTGCTAGGCCTAAGGACTAAAAAAAAAATGGAAGAGAGAGAAAATAAAAGTAGAGGAAGGAGAAATAGCAGTAAAGAGTGCATTCAGTGTGGAGTGGTGAAATGACTCCATTACTATTTAATGATACCAATGTCACAGGCTGCCGATCTTGGCCTAGACATTAGAGGTCAGCCACAACAAACGGGATGGTGAAAAGTAGCAATGGGAAAGAATCAAGTTGAGGACTGGACAGAGCTGGGCAGGGCAAGGCATTGCTTATTTGAGGATAAAGGGTCAAAGATACTACTTGCCAGGATACTTGCCAGTTCTCTACTTGCGGAGAGAACGCAAAGAATATTAGCATGAGGCAGAAGTAAGGAGTCCTCATCATTACCAGAACATGAGAAAGCAAGTAAACCCCACAAGTTACACAGTGCGTTCCACCCAACTCTTCACGTTTTCAAAAACAATTCAAATACAAAATATAAACTATTTCTCAAACCTCTGGGAAAACAGCAGATGAAAGGGTTGAGAAATGCCACTTGAGAAGTGGAAGCCCAAACAGGGAATCCATTCCGGATAAACAGTGTCACCGGAGCAAAGACAGGAGGAACGGGCTTCAGAATCAGCTGATCCCCACCCAAGACCGACTAGAGTCTTCCTCACAGCGACTCCAGGAAGAGGTCAAATTTCCTGATTCTAAACTGACTGAAGTCAAACAGCAGTACTTTACTGTTTTTAAAAGACTGGCACCTGAGCCAACAACTATTGCCAATCTTCTTTTTTTGGTATTTTTTTTCTGCTTTTCTCCCCCAAATCTCCCCAGTACATAGTTGTATATTTCAGTTGTGGGTCCTTCTAGTTGTGGCATGTGGGATGCCAGCTCAGCATGGCCCGATAAGCGGTGCCATGTCTGCACCCAGGATCTGAACCCGCGAATTCCTGGGCCACCGAAGTGGAGTGTGCAAACCTAACAACTCGGCCACAGGGCCAGCCCCAAACAGCAGTACTTTAAAAAGCTCTGGCAGACTCAGATGAAGGAACAAACTAAACAACCTCAAATTTCACTAAAAACACTTGTTATGTGCCATAACAGGAATTGTCTGACTAGTTTCTAAAAAGCCGTATAATTCTTACCTCAATTAAATTACTCAGATGAGTGATAGTTTTTGAGTCAACTCATTGCAAAGCGTATTATAAAACAGACTCTGGGTGGTAGATATATTGAAACCTGTCAGAAGATATCTAGTTCTCTTCCCAATGATGGCAAAAACTCTGCTGAAAGCAGACTGGTAAGTACGTACACAAGCCCACTCCTTAGCTCTACACATCCTGACGGGCTTTCTCTCCCCAGTTACTTTACCTTCTCCTGCTCAGCATGCAATACTCTTGCCTGTGTGTTTTCTGTGGCTGTTTGAAGTGAGTTGTTCCTCTTCTCCATCATCAGGTTACTCTGCTCAACATATCTGAAATAAATAGGGGAAAAGTCAACATTTATCAAGCACTGAATGTATACCAGGCACAACCCAATGCACACTCAGTCCTTACAACACTGGCTCCTATATCTTCATCAAAAACAATCTGAAAGCATTTGGTTTTCCTTACATCTGCAGCCATCAAATTTGGAGGCAGGAATCTGAACCAGAGGTGAAGTGATTTGCAGAATGAAGAGGAGAGGAATTTGAAGCATGTGTGGTATGGGCGGGGTGGGCGGGGGGGAGATGAGAGAGGAAACAGATTGGAGTGAGGCTTCAATGAAGAGGGGAGAAGAAAAGAAAGCCACCCCACACACAAACACAAACACCATGTGGGAGACAAGAGACATTGGAGAAGAGAAATACAGGAGAATGGAGTTTTTTTGTTTGTTTCTTTCTTTGTTTGCTGGGTAAGATTCACCCTATTATGCGACAACTAATATCCATCACCAATCTTCCCTTTTGGCTTGAGGAAGACTCACCCTGAGCTAACATCTGTTGCAAATCTTCCTCTATTTTGTATCTGGGCCACTGCCACAGCATGGCCACTGACTAGCAGCGTAGGTCCCTGCCTGGGAACTGAACCTGGGCTGCCAAAGCAAAGCACACCAAACTTAACCACTAGGCCACCAGGGCTTGCCAGAGAATGATTTTTTAAGTAAATGCTATCTGCTGTGCCATGTTCCCTTGACTCCCCCATAATCTTCAGAAGGAGTTATAAAAATTACAAAATGCTTGGGTTTTATATGGAAATCAGTGAAGTTCTGGTTGAGTTCTGGTTGATAAAATAGAGTCAGCCCACAAAGAAGAGAGAAGAGTTGACAGAGTATTTCTAAGAATTTTCCAAATATTATCACCACTTTTACACATGAGGAAACTAGGGCCAGCAGGAATAAAGAAAATGCCCAAAGCATGTAACAAATGAGGAGCAGAGCCGGGATTCCAACACAGGTCTGCCTTACATCGCAGCCTACTGAGTTCTTTCTACTGAAATAGCTCTCAGAAACATGCAAGAATTCACGTGACAGGCAGGAAACAGAAACAGACATACATATAAACTTCCCTAAATAAACATGTTTGTTTAACTGGGGCATTTACAAGTTAAACCGTTTTGTCCGTCTTAGCCAGTGCCCCGTACCTGTCATTACCTCTGATTTCGTTCAATCAGTTCACTAATCTTGTCGTTCTGTTCTTCTATCCGACTGCTCTTTTCAAAGATCTCTTGCTTCAATCTTTCGTTCTCCTATAAATTCAAAATATATGATGTATAACAAGTTTTTAAGAGAAAAGTGTCAGATAAAAGGGAATCAACTTGAACTGACAGGGGACACTGTTACATATTTTGAGACAAAAAACTAGAACTTATGTCCACAGAGACATAATACTTAAAACAACACATCAAATTATACCTGATGGATACAAATCACTATATCCAATAGATTAAACATAGAAATGGCTATAAAATGAATCAAAATTCTGAAAGATCGTCAAAAAGAAATCTTTCCTTCCGACCAGACAGTGATAAGTTACTTGGATCAAATTAAGCCATAATGGATTTTCCAGAATTTCCCAACTCAGCATAGCATTTATCACGTGCTCTCTGCTTTGGGAGTGGAGGTTTTAAAGAGTAGCACGTCTTGGGAGACTAAAGGGGCAAGACCTGCACGCTGAGTGCTCTGTTCTCAATCACTCTCACCTGAACAATTCGTTGGATGTTGCTCATAATCATGCTTGTTTCCATTGTGACTGACATGCTGGGAATGAGCAGGGAATTGCCAGCACTACGCTTCTGTAACTCATCAACCTGCAAGAGGGGTGCCAGAAAGACTTTGTGAGAAATTTTTAAATGAAGAAATAGAATTTACCCAAAATCTGACCACTTTTTTGAGGTGACTACCCAGTTTCTGAGGCAATCTCTAACGTAACCTAGAGTTTTCTTCTGCTAACTGGATCCCAATATAATAACCAACTTCTAGGGAAATAACTACTAACTACTGTGAATACAGGAAACTCAGGAAGAGTTTACCAAAGCCCTGTTTGTACCCCCGATCACACCCCCACTTTCAACATAGCCCCAACCCTGACTCAGTCACCTTAGTCATGAGATGATCCATTTTATCAGCCACTTTGCTGACTGCCATTCGAATTTCAGTGTTATGTTGCCGGGCTTCAGTCATGAGAAATGAAGCCATGTCACCTGATCCTAAACAGACAGAAACCAAAAAGGAACTTACAAAACTGGAGCAGAGGATATTGTATGAGGCAGCCCTTTCAGCAGAGGAAAGAAAGAAATGAACATTTCCAAATAGTAGGAAATGCTGTAGGTGATTCACACTGTCAGGAGACATAGAGAAGACAGAGGCACAAGAGCTCCAAAGTTAATACCTAAGCCATGCACCTGCAAAGTGCACGAGGGATACAATCTGGTCCAAGGGGACAAGATGCCCACTTTGGTCTGCCATAGCACAGATTGCTTCTCCATTCATCCAGCTGAATGCCAGACATTGTACCAGCTACCAGCGATAGAGAAATGAATAAAATATGGTTCCTGCCCTTGGCAAGCTCACAGTCTGGTGGGGAGACTCACAGGTAAACAGATCATTACAACAGAGTGTTTTAAGTGCAAAAAATGGACCATGTACAAGGTACAAAAGGAGCACACAGAAAAGCCAGATTAACTCTTTGGTGACCCATATACACATTTAAGTCTCTGGGAGGAAAGGAGGAAGGGATGGTGACAATCAGGGAAGGCTTCGCAGTGGAGATGGCAGATTTGATGGTTTCCCAGATAGAGGAGGGGCAGGGCTTCCAGACAAAGGCTGCACCCAGGAAACCCTTACCACTCCAGGACCATAAATTATGTTGTAGGATATATGTGCTTCCTCCTACCACTGTCCTAATACCAAAGGTGGTTACTGTGGCGAAGACAAGCTGCAGAACAAGAAGGCAGGCTACCATCCCAGCTGTTTACATTTCATTTTATCCTTTAACACACGACAACCTCACTTGTCCACGCATGTAAGATATCTGAAAAGTTACCCAAGTAACTGTTCACAACAGTTCCCTGTGGTCAGGGAGTTTTCATGATGGGGGACAGTAATTTTTTACTCTATACCCTTTTGTGTTGTTTGACTTTTTTATAAAAGTATATTATTTTCATAATTTAAAAATTTTAACAAAGTAGCTTTCTTCTGAGATACTGAATACCCACAAACAGCTATCATGCTTTCTCCCAATTTCCTACAATGTTTTACTCTTTTACTATTTTCTGTAAACTCTACAGAGCCACGTGGACAGAGGAATTAAAAAGGGCTGGTGGGAGAAAATGCAAGAAACAAAACACAGACAGTGGGCATGAGGGGTTTTTTAGTATGATGAAAATGTCCTAAAATTGGATTGTGGTGACGGTTGCACAACTTTGTAACTTTACGAAAAAAAATCACTGAATGGTACACTTAAAACCAGTGAACTGTATGGTATGTAAATTACACCTCACAAATCTCTGTAGGGCAGAGATTTATTGGAGTAAAAATGAAAAAAGGATGAGAGGAAGGAAGGTACAGGAAGAGCAGAAGACGAGAAACCAAACCCCCTACCTTGAAAATGGGGAGCCTGAGAGAGTGGCGCTGGGTACAAGGGCCGAACGGGCTGCAGCTGGGAGGTGACGGCTGATGCCTGGGGATAGGCGTAGGCCTGCATACCTGCATAGGGCTGAGAAAATGCCAAGGGACAGCCAGTTTATAAAACATTCATACCTCTCTTTTTTGCTTAATTTGTCTTTGATGGAATAAAATGGATAAGCTGGAAGGAGACTCAAATTTATTGAAGCTGGAGATGGATGAGCTCAGGGTTTGGTACTGGATAATAATTGCAGCAGGAAAGCTACCTATGTGATCCAGTGGTACCCAGTCACTGAAGCCCTACCCAGAAAGTAAGGGGAGGGGGTCTCAGGCCACTCTCCGGTCCTCTGGTGATATGATTTAATTAAGCAGGAATTCAGCCATCGGGCCTATTGATGGTCTAAGAAATTTTAAAACTAAGCAAACTCTGCTTAATTTCCATTCAGGTAAAAGGAGAGGAGTTCACTGAGATTCCAAATTAAATCCACCAGTTTTCAAAGGCTGCCTCTCCCCTGCTAGATCCTGATGCTTTCCTGTGTGGCCAAGAGCTCTCAGTTTCCTCTGAGCTTTGGTCACCCCAACTATAAAATGAAAATAAGAATACCACTTCTTAGGGTTGTTGTACGGACTAAAGGAAGTGATATATAGGTAAAGTTTCTAACAGCTCGTAAGCGCCTGGCAGATAGTAAATGCTCTATAAACAGCAGCTATCATTTTAATGATGATGGTTATTCTTCCTTGAATTAAGGAAATCCAGTTCACTTCCAAGGACAGACATAACAACCCATCCATTATTTAAAAAGAAAGGAAAAAAAAAAATCTTAGGGGCCAGCCCCATGGCCGAGTGGTTAAGTTGGCACACTCCGCTTCGGCAGCCCAGGGTTTTGCCAGTTCAGATCCTGGGCACAGACATGGCACTGCTCATCAGACCATGCTGAGGCAGCATCCCACATAGCAAAAGCAGAAGGACCAACAACTACAATATACAACTATGTACTGGGGGTTTTGAGCAGAAGAAGGAGAAGAAAAAAAAAAGAAGATTGGCGACAGAAGTTAGCTCAAGTGCCAATCTAAAAAAGAAAATCTTAGGCGGCCAGCCTGGTGGCACAGCGGTTAAGTTCATATGTTCCGCTTCGGTGGCCTGGGGTTCACCAGTTTGGATCCCGGGCACAGAACTACACACCACTTATCAAGCCATGCTGTGGCAGGTGTCCCACAGATAAAATAGAGAAAGATGGGCACAGACGTTAGCTCAGGGTCGAGCTTCCTCAGCAAAAAGAGGAGGATTGGTGGCAGATGTTAGCTCAGGGCTAATCTTCCTCAAAAAAAAAAAAAATCTTAGTCTATACAGATACTAACTCTCCACTAGGGAGTGGGGAGAGGGTAAGGTGAAACTTTTCTCGATTCTGATACACCCTGTCCTAGTGGGGCATAGCCTGCCCACCAATGCTTCCACTCCTCCATTACGAATTACCACGGAAGCAAGGGCCTGTTACCACTGGGAGTACGTCTTATCCGTCAAATGTGTCAGGACAGAAGAAAAGGTTCACTATCCTGGCAACAGTCAGCAGAGAGAGACAGGCTGCTGCCACTGTCTTCTGTGAAACCAGGAAAAACCTACTTTAAGAAATCACTTTTGGAGGATAACTAGATTGCAGAATTCAGCTGTGTGTTCCATAGTCTCCACTTTCAACTCATAACCATTCTGCTGAGTTATTTGATAGAAAAGAACACCAGAGACTTGAATACATACCCTTCAACCAGACATGTGTGAAAAGGAGAGGAACAAATGTTGGTTGGGCCTCTACTACGGGCCAGGCCTGGAACCAGGTGCTCTGCTCGTTCTCTCATTTAATCTTTACAACAACCTGTAAGGAAGGTAATCCTTTGCCTGGTTTAGAGATGAGCAAGTGGTGGTTCCAGAAGAGGAAAAATCATAAACTCTAACTGTGGGGAACGGCTACTGTACGAACGGGGCAGGAAGAAGAAAAGAGACTGACTAGTACCGTAATAAATTAAAACTTTTAATTGATACGGCTTTAAAATGTTATTACCTGAAAGGACTGGGCATTTCCAGATACAGCTGAGTGGGAATCGAGAGGCGCAACTTGCATTAAGGCAGCAGAGGGTGCTTGGAGCCCAGAAACAGACGACTGAGGTGCTAAGAGAAAGCAAGAAGTTTTCACTGTCATCCACCCCTTGCTTCTTGGTACAAGTCCAGACCAGCACCTCACACACCATCATGCTTCAGACTTGACCACTTTTCTCACCTAGTCCCCTAAAACCAACTCTACTGGAGTCTCAGCAATGGGCTAGTAGAAGGATATTGGGTGTTCTCAGGTCCACGTGACTCAGGCCTATGATCCCATTAGCTGGCAGGAAGTGTAGAATGACATACAGGGAGATGTCTTATCAGCTGAATGCAGATTTCCAAAACTGATGATGCAACAGCAGGAGACACAGCAAGCAGACCAAACACACCTCCAGGTCTGAAAATGCCCTACCCAGGGACAAACTGACAAGTTTTACGCTCTAGCCCAGTTCTTAGCACTGAAACAATGCAGCCTAACAATCTAAGGACAGTGATGACAACTTTGGTGCTGACCCATTCAAGGCCACAGAACCCCCTTACCTTGTGAGGTCATCGGTGGTAGCACTGGATGGGCTGGCTGAAGAGAGGGCTGGATAGATGGAGGTGCCATGGGCTGCCCGGCTCCTCGCAGAGCATTCACATCCTGAAACAGGCACAAGCATGCTGCTTGCTACGTATATGGGCCCCTAACTGAAGACCCAGGCTGACTATTCACCCACAACCTGCTTACAGCCAGTGTTTTTAGGCAAAGAAGAGGAAGGAAAGGTGAGAGTTTAGGGCACGGGTTATGGGGAGAAAGCAGTCTGTCATGTACTAGAGGAGAGCCCTTCTCCCCGTAAATTATATCAAATAATTAAATATCGTTAATTTCCTCAATCACTCTAAGTAGCTGATGCTTATTGTCTGAAGCAGTTAAAGTGACTGTTCTCCAGAATGTATCACTTTCCAAACCAGCAGCTACCATAAGACTGACCTAGTCTGTTCCCACAGAAGAGGGGTCTCTTGCAAGGAAACCCAGGGAATAAGGCAGCCTCTGCTCTTTGGCTATATAATCTCCACAGACCTCAAGGTACTCACTGAAAATCAGATAGAGTAGGATTCACTGCACCTCGTTACCATGCTGTTTTGGGATAATATAGTTTTAGAGTTTCCCCCCATTGATTCTTTTCATAAAATCAAAGCAATGTTGGTCCCTACTGCAATTCTAAACAAAGTTATCCCACAAACATCTTCCTGATCCACACAAGGAAAAGAAAAACTTGAGACATAATATATAGTGACTGCGATCTGCTATGCTGCACTTTAAGGGTGGAAATCTCTCTCTGATCTTCTTTTTTCTGGGGGTGAGGAAGATTGGCCCTGAGTCAACATCCACTGCCAATCTTCCTCTTTTTGCCTGAGGCAGATTGTTGCTGAGCCAACATCTGTGCCAATCTCCCTCCATTTTGTATGTGGGACGCCACCATAGCATGGCTTGATGAGCCACGTGTAGGTCCACACCCAGGATCCAAACCCATGAACCCTGGGCCACCAAAGCAGAGCATGCAAAACCAACCATGATGCCAACAGGCCAGCCCCTCTCTGAACTTCTTTTACTTTAGAATTCCTCCTTGTCTCCCAATATTCTCAGAAATGTATTGTGCATTTCTGGAAAAGCATCTCAGTTTTATATCACCACAGCTCTAATTCAACCTGTATTTCTAACAATAGAGTGAAAGCAATTATGCTAAATCAATACAACAGAACACTGGGTTACCTTTAAAGGTAATAAAGCTTTGCTTTATGTACACTATTTATATTATTGATATTAACATAAGTGTTCACAATATAACATTAAGTTAAAAAATCAAGCTACAAAGCTATATATAAAAAACAATGCCCCAGGCTGGTCCACTGGCATAGTGGTTAAGTTCGTGCTCTCCCCTTCAGTGGCCCAGGGTTTGTAGGTTCGGATCCCTGGGCAAGGACCTAGCATCACTTACCAAGCCACACTGTGGCAGCACCCCACATAAAATAGAGGAAGACTGGCATAGATGCTAGCTTAGCAACAATCTTCCTTAAACAAAAAGAGGAAGATTGGCAACAGATCTTAGCTCAGGGCCAATCTTTCTCACCAAAAAAAATAATGCCCTTTTTGTTAAATATGTCTTCTTACTTTATAATTTAAATACTCTACAATGAATAAGTAGCACTAAAATTTTTAATAAGAATATTATCTTATCCAAATTTCATTTCCAGAAACCAGATAAAAGCCAATCTTACAACAACAGGTCCCAGAAAGCCTATCCTCCTTTAAAATGTTAAATCTACTTAGAGCTCTTCCAGGAAGAAATAAAACGAAATTGTGAAAAATAAAGCCTATTTTGGAAAATTTTTTCTCAAGAGCATCACTTTTGCTTTGTCGTACACCAAAGTCAAAGAATCCTAAAAATCAGTCTCTGTTATGTGTTCCAATTCAATTGAGAAAGGATGATTTTATTCAGTAAGGAGCTAACTACTGGGAAAAGAACTAAGAACTAAATTACTTCAGATCATACACCAAATCCCAGATGGATTAAAATTTTAAATATAAAAATGAAATAATAATAAATATTTTATAAATCACGTGACATTTATAATATATGAAAGTGGGAAGGCTTTCTAAGCATAATGTCAGAAGCAAAAAACAAAGGGAAAAAATTGATAGATTTGTTTGCAATAAAATTCTTGAACTTCCAAAAAAACCACATCACATACAAAGCCAAAAGACACAACAGTGTGATCTTTAGTAACACGTAACTTCAGTGGAAAGACCAACATTTTCCAAGAGAGTCTAAACATTCAATCATTAAGTAAGAAACCGAGCATCTGTTATGGGTTGGGCATCATGCTGCCTAAAGAGCGACTTTTACTGACAGTGGAGATCCCAGTAGAAGGCGAAAATAACTACTTAAAATGGACCACTTCTGGTGGTAGACGTACAGAACTGCTTCCATTTCTCAGTGGAAGTACTAATCACAGTAGAAACATATGTACCAATATCAACCTGTATCATTTTGAATATAAGCTCTCTAAATAATGATTCTGGGTGAGATGCAGAAAAAGCAGTAATTTCAACCAAAAGAACAGAAGATAGGAACATCTGCACTATTCATTCTAATACAGCCAGGGGACATACTTCAATTTCTGAATCATTGGAATCCAGCTGTGGTGGAAGGATGGGGAGCATGGGCTGGCCCATTTTAGCCATCCGAGAGATCAACTTGGCCTTGACTGTATCAGGATTCTAAAAAGAAAGGAAAGTCACAAAAATCACTGTAATCAAGGTTCATTCTCTTCAGTCCACTCTGTCTTTGGCTCTTGTATAAAATCCTTCAACAAGTCCCCCTGCCATATATATTTCTAATCATTTCTTCTAGAAAATGAAAATTAAAGATTTCTTGCCTAGAAGCATACATGGGTCACAATTAATAACAGCAGTAAAAAGAATTTCCCATATGTTGGAAGGGACAATGTAATTTCACACATATTACTTCATTTCAATCAAGTCTCCCCACCAGGCATACTTACTCTCATTTTACAGATGAAAAACTAAAGTATAGATTAAGGGAGGGAGGCATTTCAGATGATAGTACTCTCTCAAAAGCCTGAGGGCAATTCAGCAGAGAGAGATTGAGAAGAGATTTGGGGAGAGAAGGAAAGAGGAGCTCTTTGTTCCAAATTTAGGTTCATTTAACTCTGACTTGGCATTGACTACACACCCGCCCCTGTGCTAGAAGCCTCTGTACCCATTTACTGGTCCAAAGTGCAGCCTTGAGTACATTCCCCTGAGGGTGCACAAGATGATCTATTGGGTGTAAAAAGAAATGATCATAATCTCTATTTTTAAATTATCTTGAAGTTACAGTAAACATAAGACATTAAGCTTGTTTACAGGGATGAAGAGTACGTTATATAATTTGTAAATAGACATACACTGGAAGGATGTGCTCATTTTTTCTTAACACAATCAAAAAGCTGGGTCCATCAAGAGAGGACTAGTTATATAAACCATATCCACACAATGGAATATTGTGATCTAGAAATAAAAAAAGAATGAGGAAGTTTTCTATACACTAACATGGAAAGCTATTGTCACATATATTCTAAAATTACGAGCAAGGTAGGTAACACACATAGTGCGCTTTTTTGTGTGACAAGGGAGAAAAATAAAATATACATTCCTATTTGTTTGCATCTACATAGAGAAAGTGAGAGAATATATAAGAAACTAATAAAAGCAGTTACCTAAGTAGGGGGGAAGATGGGAGGGGGTACATGAGGGCAGGGGTGGGAGTGAGTCTTCTCAAAAAGTGCATCTTGTTATTTTGTTTTGATAACTGTACCATATGCATATAATTACTTGTTCAAAACAAAAAATGAAAACTTAAATGTAAAAAGAAACAAAAGATGGTTAATTTTGTTATCTGAATTTTGCCTCAATTAAAAAAACAAAACTGTGAAAAAACAAAAGAAATAAAAAAAGGTTAGAGATCACTAGTCTACCAGAAGTTACTGCAGCTTAGAAACAGGTGACAAAAATAACTGTGTCCAGAGAGTACAACAAAACTAATGCTGAACAATTTTTGTGGTTGTTCAAAGATATGAGATTGTAAGTGTTTTTCAATTTTCTTCTTTCTTGGTTGAACCTTCTGGCTTTAGGAGGTCACTTTTTATATATACTTGATCAATTATTTGCTTTGATTTGCCAAATTCCTGATTTGGGCTGAAGACAAACAAGTCAACTAGGATTGGAGAGAAATTAACCATCGATTTTACTCCAATTATCCCGCTTCCCAGTGTGGCAGGTGAAGGCCACAGAGCTTCAGAACTTCAAGTGCTTCAGCTATCACCTCGTCTGCAGGTAGCAAACTCATGCCTTCACGGTCCAGGCAGGGCAGACACAAACCACAGTGGACGTCCTCCTAAAGGCATTCAGATCCACATTTTACTACGACAGTATGCTAGTCTTTTCATCTTTACACCTGGGCAAACACAGAGGCCCAGTGATCTGCTCAAAGCCAACTAGCTGGTGAATTAGTACAGAATTCCTCTGAGAGAATGAAAGGATGAAGATATGTAGTGTTAGCAGTAATGAGGATAATAACAAGAGCCAATGTTAATTGAGCTCTTACAATATGCCCGACACAATACTAAAAACTCCACAGGCATTATTTCACTTAAACTTCATAAAAATCTCGAGAATGACTGAAGACATGCTATATGTAGACTCTGAGCTCAGTGCTTTGGAACCAAATCACAAGAACCCTATAAAGGGGCTGTGAGAATCATTCCATTTTAAAAATGAAGACGCCGAGGACCAGAGAAGTTAGAGAATTTTCTCAAGGCCACACGCTTGTAAGAATAAAGATTTGGAGCCAGGTCTGTCTCTGCAGAAGCCCAGGCTGATCTACACTGACTCCCAAGTAAGGGGAACAAATAAAGCCTGAATCATTTGTTCTTGACATTTCTTTTCCCTCTAAGTGACCACACCCTAGGCGCACGAAACCTTCTCAGCAAACGGGGGCAAGGGAGACAGACTCGTATACTCACTGTGTTCATAGAAAGCTGCTCGCTGAGGGAGTTAGATTTGGCACGAAGAGCTGGCTCCCTGCAAGCAAGGAAGATATATCCTGAGATGAATACAAAATCCATAATTCCAAGGCCAGATTATACTGGATAAACAAACTGTTTTTGAAAATATTTGCCAATTTAATGGCTGCAAAACAGAACTTGAACTCTTCTTTAGTTTGTATAATCTCTGAAAGCTAACAAAGATTAACAATTTTCCACTCATGCTTATTATTTATAGTTTTTTCCTTGGGTACATATTTTTTGTTCATTATGCCTTTTGCCCAATTTTCTTTCAGGGTTTGGCAGGTATTCTTACATATCTGAGTTCGTGCCTTTATAGACTATGAATATTAATCCTTTGTCAGAAAAACCTGATGCAAGTGTTTTCCCCATTTCCCTCATCCCATTTTTTCCCCTAGTTATTTAAAATTATTTTAGGGGCCGGTCCGGTGGTGCAGCAGTTAAGTGCACATTCTGCTTCAGCGGCCCAGGGTTCACTGGTTTGGATCCCGGGTGCAGACATGGCACTGCTTGTCAAGCCATGCTGTGGTAGGCATCCCACATATAAAGTAGAGGAAGATGGGCACAGATGTTAGCTCAAGGCCAGTCTTCCTCAGCAAAAAGAGGAGCATTGGCAGCAGATGTTAGCTCAGGGCTAATCTTCCTCAAAACGATAAATAAATAAAATTACTTTACTTTTCAATTGTATCCCTATTTCTGAACCCCTCTAAGAATCATTTCTATGGACAATAAAAGAGCTTGCTACAACTCCAGTATCTTACCCTGATTTGAAAGGCGCCGACGTGGGTGTTGACACAATAGGATCAGCAGAGAGGCTGTCAGCACCAGGTATGGGAGAAGGAGCCGCCGAATCCCGGGAACTAACACTGTGCCCATCAGAGCCGGAATCTCTGGCAAATTTGACCTAAGGAAAGATCAAAGACAGGTGGAAAAGGCTACAAAAAAGCACCCGTCGCCCTCCATCCTCCCTTCTTTTTACTTATTCTCCATTACATAAGTCATTATCTGTTCACTGCAGGTGAATCAGAAAATGCAGATAAGCAAAAAAAAAAAGAAAGAAAGAAAGAAAGAAAAAGATAACAGTCTCCTGCAATCCACCTACTAAGCAATAACATTATCAGAATTTTGGATGTAGTATTTCACATTTATATTACCTTTGGATGTGTATATCTATCTGTGTGCGTGTATATTTTTTACAAAAATGGGGCCATACTGTTTTGCAACCTGCTTTGCTCACTCACTGATACGTTAACACATTGCCATGTTACTAAATGATTAATCTATGACATCATTTTCAACTACTGAAGATTACGTCTAACTTCAAAGGTCATGCTTTTAACTGCTATTATCTACAGGAAAAAGTCTTCAAAGGATCGGGGGAACAGAAGTCATAAATATCTATGTTATTACAAAATACATTTCACCAATTCCTAGTTGTTGGACTTTCAATTTATTTCCAATTTTTCCCATCACAAACAATACTTCTATGAATAGCTTTGCATCTATATCTTTGCACATAATCATTTCCAAAGTATAAATTCACACAAGTTAAATTATTATATAAAAGCTTTGTTCATTTTTAAGAATTCTGATATACACCACAAAATTTGAACTACTTTATACTCCACAAGCAGTATATCAGTCTTTCTTAACACTCCTGTCACACTGGGTATTATCATTCTGTATCAGCCTTGTCAATCTAATAAGCAATGTTAATTTGTAATTCGTTGATTATTGGTAAAATAGATTTTTTTTTCCTATGTTTACAAAATGCCAGTCTTGATGGATTCAAATTGGTTTGTTATCTATCACCAACCATGATTTCATCAAACTCAAAGGAAAATTGAGAGGGAATATTAAAGTTGTGAAAAGGGCAGCTGGAAGCATGTTAGTGACAGAGGGCTGGAATGGCCCCACAGACACAAGGTGTCCAATTAGGAAAGGCCCATTGAGAAGAAAAGCATACCCTTTGTTGTAGCAGGAACAACAGCCACAATGAAGATGACCGTAATATCTTTTATTTGCATTGTATTGTATAGTTTATAGTAACAAACACTATCACATTTGGACCTAACAATCACAGCATAAAGCAAACAGGGTCTTTTTTTTTCTTAGGAGGGAGCAGCATTAATTAACCACAATTTGTTACAAAGTTTATTACAGAAATTATACATATTCATGATAAAATTTTTAAAAGGTACAAAAGGGTAGAATATCAAAAATAAAGGTTTCTGAACCTCATTTCCATTTTCCAGAGAAAACTACTTTTAATGCTTCCAGATACTGTCTATGAATGTATGGGCATATATATGTATTCATATGTATATATACAGCCATATGTATATAAGACTGCGCAAATATGTTTGTATATGTGTGTGTACACACACACATGTACACACAAGAGATCATACTATCCATATTGTTTTGCAACTTGCTTCTTTCACTTAACAGATTTTTGGATATTCTTTAAGAACTACATAAAAGTCCACTTTATGAAAAACCATAACTTAACCAGTCTCTTAATAACGGACATAGTTGTTTCCAGTTTTTTACTACTACAAACAATGTGACAGAGGGAGGAAACTATATATCTCTATCTATCCATCTATCTGTAGATACCTTTGCATACTTATGTAAACATATTGATAGGATAAATTTGTAGCCATGGAATTACTAAGTCAAAAGGTATGTACATTGGGTAGGAACCACTATTTTATAGACAAAATAAAAAGAAGGTTAGTGTAGAGAAGTGATCTGCTCAGGCATGTCCTCTTCTAGACTCTGAATAGCGAGCCAGGAAGGACATAAACGCTGGTCTTTAGATTCCAAAGCTGCTGTTCTTTCCAACTATACCATTTCTACTTAAAAAAAAAGACAGACGTCTTCAGAACCTGTTCTCAAATATATTTATTTATTCATTTTACTCAACTAGCAAAGAGAACGTATCAACCCAACACACCACCATTTCACTCACCCGCGTAATCTCCACCTCGAACACGAGGATAGAGTCTGTTGATGGAGTCCATCCTATTACCCCTTCAGAGCCAGCAGCACAGGCTGGAGGGATGATAAGCAACCGCTTCCCTCCTTTTTTCATGCCCAGCATTCCATCTTCCCAGCTCTTTAGGAATCGGAGAAGAGGAGAAGCTCATCAGACACAAACTTCCTCATAAGACAAAATGGGGTATAGGATCATCAGGTTTCACTCATCCACACTTTCAGGTTTGGATCCCGGGAGAGAGGTCAAGTTCAAATATTCCTCCCTCCCTCCATTCGTTATAAGAATATCTAGAATACTGTCATACATCACTTAACAACAGTGATATGGTTTGAGAAATTTGTCATTAGGCGATTTCGCTGTTGCGCGAACATCATAGAATGTACTCACATAAAACTAGATGGTATAGCCTACCACACAGCTAGGCCAAATGGCACTAATCTTATGGGACCACCACTGTAAAGGAGGTCCATTGTTGACCAAAACGTCATTATATGGCATGTGACTGTATTGCTTCTAAATTCACTTGTAAAAGCCAGCATATCCGGGACTGGATGAAACATATTTATCTTAGGTAATGAGAAAAATTGGGAGGAATATAAGACTGGAATTAAAAGAGAAATGAAAGCTATCATTTATTAAACATATTTTTCCAAATGCTCTGGTAAGTGCTTTACTCATATTATGTTGTTTAATCCCTAAAACAACCTCATGAGGTTAGTAGCATTACCCCCATTTTACAGATGAGAAAACTGAGGCTTAGGGAAGTTAAGAAACTAGCCCAAGATCAGACAGTCGGTACACTGTTAAGCCAAGATTCAACACTAGACTATCCAGCTTTAAGGGTCTACAGAAACAAGTCTCCAAAGGCTTCTGGGAAAAGGAGTCATAAACAATGCTATGAAGACACACTTTTTGCCCCGTGGATGAATGAGTACTTCACAATGCATCAGTATATCCCGACACAATTATAGCCCACACGTGTAAACTACTCTTTACTTTATAACACACTTGCGCAACTGGTAAAGAAAAAATTCACAAGGTGAACCCAGGGCCTCAGACGCTAATGCCGTCATTCCTCCCACTGTGTCGTGGTTGTTTCCCACAATGGTTGCAAAGCGCTGGTCCCAAGCATTCCAGGGAGACAAGAACCACCCATTATAACACATTGCTAGAAGAAACAGTTTCCCCTCTTTCCTTATTAGGCTATAAGAAGGATTTAGTAATTTCCCCAGAGTTACAGGATGAAAAAGAAAGGGCAGGTACCCATTCTTCAATATATCATCTCATAGGCAAAAATCTCCCAAATACAGATAATGTAACACAATGTTATACGACTTTTTACACATCCTTTGCAGACTCTCAGAAAATACAGCCAGGTTAGAAATTTAACAAAACTGAATGTAAATGAAGCCCACTACAACTGATAATCCATAGAAAAACACAGTTAAACCTTTACCTTGATGACTTTCCCTGATCCTAATTTCAAGCGAAGCAGCTTATCCTTGTTAGCAGTGGAGTCAAAAACCTGCAATGTTATCAAAGTACATGAAGTCAGCCAGTTTCAAAAATAATAATAATCATTACAACATCCAACTTAGCACATACCAGCACAGTACTTCTGGAATAGGGAATGTCAAACATGCTGGAAAAATTGTTCTTAAAAGACCTGAAAAGAAGGGACCACATCATGGCTAAAGAGTGTTATCACACTGAATATCTCTGAGGCAAAGACTTCCAGGTTTGGAAAAACATAAACTTCTACCACCAAGTATTTAAAAGCATTTTCATCTGTAAAGACTTCTCAAATAAATGATCTTATCTGATGCTCACACCAATCCTGCCAAGGAAGCAGCATAAGTACCACTGACCTCCATTCACAGATGGGGAAAAAAAATTAAGAGCTTAAATGACTTGACAAGGTCAAGTTAGGATAAAATTGAAACGTGAATCCACATTTTTTTGACTCATAGTCTAAAGTTCTTTCTATAATACCATACTGCTTTTGAGGGCTTAATAACATTAAAACACAACAAGCCCGATCTACTTACAGTATCTACTATAAGAAAAACAGAGAAACAGCTGTGAGGAAGGTCTAAACAGAAGTTTTAAGACCTAATCTCATAAGAATATATTCAAGTTTAAAACTGGTATAGGAGGACAAGACATACATGTGAACAATTACCAGAAAGGACACTTGGAGTTTCCATTCTCTCTAAGCGGAAGAGACAAGTAGCACTGAGAAGATTTTACACACTAACAATTCATGACTATGCCCCAAAAGCAGTTGTAGTGACTAAAGCAGGACAACTAAATGATTTCTATTTGCCAACAGCAGCAATTCACAATAATAACACCTTACGCTTGAATAGCCCTCATGCTATTTAAATTACAAAAGAACCTGCAGGGTACGTTTTCTTACCTGGCCCAGCGCATGATTCTGCAAGAGCCAGCCAGTATAGGCCACTTCCAAGGAATCTCCAACTTCTACAGCAGGACCCTCTGCTACAATGAGGTCCTGCGAGAGCACTGCATCCAGGGAAGAGGTGCTGTTGCACTTGGCAATGCACACCTGCGCGACGAAATCGAAGCAGCATAAACTTAGTTTAAGCTCAGTAAGTACTCATCCCATTATTGTTAATGCTCTTTTCTAAACAGTGGCAACCCCTAAGAAAACCGATTAGATGTTTGGAAGTAAATCATTCGAAAGTCAGTAATCTTGCCCAGAATCAAAGTGCCTAAGAGTATGGCATTGGAGTCAGACTGTCTGGGTACAGATCTGGGCACTGCCACTTATTAACTTGTAACCTTGGCCAAATAACTTAACCTCTCTGTGAACTTCATTTCATAGAGGCTTTTTGTAAAATGGAGATAAAAGCTTTGTATATCTCCTAGGGCAGTTATGAAGACTAAGCTAATGGAGGGTACTTGGCCCAGTGCCTGGCAAATAACAGTAAGTACCCAATAAACATGAGCCACCGTTACTATACTGACTTACTGCTTCAGTGTTTGGGAACCTATGAAAGAAGGGACGCTTCTAAAAAAATTTCAAAAGGCATTTCTAAAAAGAATAAACTAGAAAAAAGGCCCTTTACAAAACCATATTGCATTCCAAGAATTCCTACCTCCACCCTTACCCTACAGATTTAGCCATATTGTCTTAGCACAAATCTTAGACAAGATTAAGCATTACAATATTAAGTAAATAAGATTTAAGTATTCTATAGTCAGTGTTTTAACATATACATTGGAAACTTGCTACTCATTTTCTTAAAAAAGTTTCGTTATTGTAACCAAATAAATGCTAACTAAAACAATGAGATGTCATTTTTTATTAAGCAATTAAGACTAAAAGGGAAAAAAAAGGATAATTCTAAATGCTGGCAAAGGCATAGTGAGAGAACTGATATAAATGTGAAATAGTACAATCTCTCTGAATAGTAGTGTGCCAAAGTATATACAAAGTATATACAGAACCTAAAAATACTTGAAACCTTTGACTCAGTCTTTCACTTCTAGAAATCTACCCTAGAAAATAATCAGAGAGAAAAAAGGACACAGAATTATACACAAAAATGGTCACTATAGTATCATTTATTTCAGAGACTGAAAACAATCTAAATGCCTAAAGTAAGAGAACGGCTAAATAAATTAAAGAACACTTGTATTATGCACCTTCCAAAACTGTTTCCAGATAATTCTTCATTAAGTGGGTAAAGATGCATTATACATTGTTAAATAAAATAAGCAGGATATAAAATTCTTAAAGGGTGTGTCTACTATGTACATACTATGTATACTATGCATTAAAAAAAAGAAACATAACATGTTACTAGTGGTTACTTTGGGTAGTAAGATTATGAGTGGTTTTTTTTTAAATGTTTTTCTAAATTTTCTACAGTGATCATGTAGTAACTTTTTAAAAATTCTTTTAAAACGCTATTTTTAAAAGATAGCTTTATTTATTCCTTATTTATGAAGTGGAAAATGTTTTTTAAAAAGTCAGTTTAGATTTAGCCTTTTTTCTCTTTAAAGTCTCATTTTCGAGCAATTTCAATAAGTGTTCCTATTATTTCCCTGAAATACAACAAGCTCAGGTGAGAAATTTAGTGCCTGTCACTAACAAAATATAGCAGGTTATAAGTTTTCCATATATTTTCCTAAAATCAAGGGAAATCTAGACTAGTGCTTGCATTTTCATGGGAAGAATAAGATGGTATTACCTGTTTATTGAACTCCACAGCAGCCTTTTCTGACTCAAACATGATGGACCAGTTTTGTCTCTGGTCATCATAAAAGGTGCTATAGTTATTGGGCCGAACCTGGGGAAAGGAGAAACGGTGGGATAACTCAACCAAGAGCAGCACGGCAGCTAAATCTGACTGCCTGAACCCACACAGAAGGGCCTTGACTCAGGTGACCCCAAAGAGAGATATCAGGGAACGTTCTTCTTCCTCCCACCCTCCACCAACTTCTCCTTAGTCCACATTCCCACAAGGCAGACAAGAGACCTTTCCGAGAGGCTCTCTTAGGATATCCACTCTGACAGCCAGGGCTGAAGCAGATCTAATTCCTGCCAGCTATGCACACACCAGTCTCTGCTATAAACCTATCCCAAAGGAACTAATTCCAACATGGGAAGTCTTACCATTAGCTCAAAGTTCGGATGAATTCTGGCAACAGTAACTCGCTGCTGTTGACTGATATAAAGAAGAATCTTATACTGTACTCAAGCAAAGACAGGCAGAAAAAAAAGAGAACAGAAGTCAAAAGGCAACACAAAATGAGCAGTAAGATGTCAGGGGTGGTGCTTCATAGAGGCATAAAACTCAAAACTCAATTCACCTCTTAAAGCTTGGATTTTAAATTCTATCCTTTGACTATCCATTTTAATCTCTTCTCATTGTGGTCTTTTTTTTTTTTTTAAGATTGGCACCTGAGCTAACAACTGTTGCCAATCTTTTTTTTTGCTTTTTTCTCCCCAAATCCCCCCAGTACATAGTTGTATATATTTTTTTAGTTGTGGGTCCTTCTAGTTGTGGCATGTGGGACACTGCCCCAACATGGCCTGATGAGTGGTGCCATGTCCGCGCCCAGGATCCAAACCAGCAAAACCCTGGGCCACCGAAGCGGAGCGTGCGAACTTAACCACTCGGCCATGCGGCCGGCCCCTGTGGCTTTACTCTTCAACTGTCATCAGCAAGTCTTTATTTCACTGGTGTTTTCATTTGTATGAATGGTAACTAAGACATATACAAATGACCAACAGGTACATGAAAAGATGCTTAACATCATTAGTCATTAGGGAAATACAAATTAAAACCACAATAAGGTACCACTTCACACCTACTAGAATGGCTATAAAAAAAATCAATGGAAAAATAACGAAGTGTTGGCAAGGTAGTGGAGAAATTGGAACCCTCATATATTGCTAGTAGGAATGTAAAACAGTACGGCTGCTGTGGAAATAGTTTGGTAGTTCCTCAAAAAGCTAAACATAGAATTACCACATAACAGCAATTTTCACTCCTAGTATATACCTCAAAGAACTGAAAACAAGGACTTAAACATATACTCGTATGTCGGTGTTCATTGCACCATTACTCACAATAGGCAACAGGTAGAAACAACCAAAGTGTCCATTAACTGATGAATGGATAAACAAAACTGTTTATACACATACACATTGTTTACAACAATGTGTTATTCTCACACAATGGGATACTATTCAGCCATTAAAAGGAAAAAAGTTCCGATACATGCTACAACATGGATGAATCCTGAAAACAATATGCTAAGTGATACAAGCCAGACACAAAAGGACAAATATTGTAATGATTCCACTTATATGAAATATCTAGAATAGGCAAATTCATGGAAACAGAAAGTAGATTAGAGGTTACCAGACGATAAGGGAAGGGGGGATGGGGAGTTATTGCTTAAGGGTTACAGATTTTCTGTTTGGGATGATGAAAAAGTGGAAATAGACAGTGGTGATGGTTGCTCAACACTATAAATGTAACTAAGGCCACTGAATTGTACACTTAAAAATGGTTAAAATGGCAAATTTTATGTTTCATATATATTTACTATACACATACACACAAAACTGTAGGGAAACAAATAATTAAAATTCAACCTCAGAGGGGAGGGAGAGACTATGGGAGCTCATATACAATCTTGCACCAGAAAGGGCTTTCCTTATCCCACGTTAGGTAGCTAGAGTGAGGGGCTGATCACTTTAATCCAATTCAACTATAGACAGACTGAGCTGGTCAGGGAAGGATGCAGGTTACTCAGAGCCTTCCCACCTCTGGGCTGTCCCTGCTCTCAAGCATCATCTTCCTAGGCTTTGGATTAAGAGCCTGGAAGGTCTCTGACTCCCCAGTCCTGAAAGTTCTGCCCATCAGAGATTCTGAGCTGCGTTCTTTAGCTTCCTCTCCAGGAAGTTCAAAATCTAGCAAACGTATTCAGAGAAAGGTTGTTGCTTATTGCTTGTTACCGGTCCCAGCACTATAGGAGGACTTCATGCACCACAAGATTGCAGATGTTTCCCTCTGCCTTTCCGGCACAGCCCCTGGACTTCCACACCATCCCAGAACTCAGCAAATGTTCCATGGAAAAAAAAACCACCTTGTATTTGGAGCTCCTCTAGTTTTTTGCCAATGTCTCTTCCCCCCAGTATTCTCTCTGTCTGGCCCATACCTGAGGCTTAGTCTACTCCCAGGTGTCAGCAAAAGTCTCAAGGGAAGGAAACACTCAGTTCATTGGCTCTTCTCTAAAATTTTATTCATCTATTCCTCATCATTTCCACAGCTCTCCAACGAATTTTAAAATCGAATTTTTGCTATTTATCTGCTGTTTTACAGTTGTTACGGTGGGAATGTTGCCTGCCACAAAGTACTACATTCTATTAGGTAGTGAAGTCCCAACACCAGATTTTTAAAATCCAAATGGCAACCTCCAATGAATGAACAGATCTAGATAATAATCATTGATGGCTGCTAACATGACAAAATGAGAGACAACCAGACATTATTTACCTCCAGATGGGAGAATGAAAGAGACTAAAGGGACACAGTAACCAATTGCAATGTATGGACCTTATAGATCCTGATTAAAACAAACTGTAAAAAAAAAAAAGAAAAAAAGAGAGAATCGGAAATTGGAACACTAACAGTAGTGAGTGAGATCAAAGAATTATTGTGGGTGTTTTTTAGGTGTGATAACGGCATAATGGTTATGTTAAAAAATCCTTATCTTTTAGAGATACATACTAAAATATTTACAGCTAAAATTACATGCTGGAGATTTATTCAAAATAATCTCAGCAGGGGAAGAAGGAAAACACGCAAGAGTTAAGACAAAACAAGACTAAAATAATTGTTAGAGCTCAGCAATGGTTATCTGGGAGTTCATTATCCTAGTCCCACTATTTTTATAGGTGTTTCCAAATTTCCATAATGAAGTTGTCTATTGTATTAGTTACCCTGAACAGGTCATCTTATCTCTCTGGGTCTCAGAGTCTCTGAGGAGGATGGACTCCATGGTCTCTGGATCTCTGAAATTCTGTAATTTCTTATACTTATTTCAACCATGTTCAAAACTTTCTGGAGCAGAATTTGAAGCTAGATACAACCCACAAGTAAATCAGTTCCAGGGCTTCCAGCTACCTCTTCTCTTTGACCCAAACCAACATTATACAGTGTGATCAACTGCCCATCTCATAATCAAACTTTCAAAGGACAAACGCTGGTCATTCATGCAGCTTAAAGACATAATGCTCTCGGTAGTACACTCAGTGTTGTTTATTACCTAACAAAGGAATGTCCTTGGTAAATGGTTTACTCCAAAACTCTCCAAATTCTTAAGCTAAGTCCATATCACAAAGGTGAAACAAAGATTTTGAGTGGTCGGATTTGTTTTAATGCACAAAAGTCAGCAAAATGTGACTATAAACATTACTGTATACCTGACACTAAAAATTCACATTCAATACAAACAATCATCTTAATCCTCTGACACATGAGACATGGGGCAAGTTGGGATAAAAACCAGCTCGTCGGTATGACATGGGACACCTGAATGTACATGAGACGTAGGGGCATTCTCACCTCTCTGGCTGTGTGGTCCCCCAGGACTGCAGCACCAAACTTGCCCTGCTTTATGTATTGACCATTTACGCTATAGAAGCAAGAAAAACAACAGGTATTAATACTTTAAGTAGAAGCAGCTTCTTTTTCTGCCATATAGAAGTGGCGTATCTAGTCATTCAGCCTCTAGAAACAGACAGAGGTGAGCAGTTCATAATTCAAAGCTCTTACACAACTTCTTTACTCTTTAAATTCACTATTCATGATAGCTCAGTGGAGTGGCTTCCTTTGAGCACTTAGAAAGGCAGCTGTTGAGGATACAAGCACTTCCTAGAGAGAGAAGACAGGATAATGGCACTTCAAAGTTTTATGTGCAGAATTCTCCAACTGAAATATTGAAAAGCATTACTGATACTTTGTCTATGGAAGGACTGAGGAGCCATTTTGCAATGAACAGAGGCTTACAGGGAAAAGATAGGGGCTTAACCCACCCTCCCGCCCGCCAGCTGCAGAAAGCACTCCTTCTCAGCTGCTTACCATCGATATGCATGGACTACTGCTGCAAACAGTATGGTGGGAGTGCCTGTGGTGGTGGGTGCTGCTTTTGGTGTTGCCTGATTTCCTGAAAATGAAGAAGAAAACAAAGTTGTCCTTCATTTCTTGCTTGAAACTGATTTTTTTTTATTTTAAAGAGTGGCATCTGAGCTAACATCTGTTGCCAATCTTTGTTTTCTCTTCTTTTCCCCAAAGCCCCCCAGTATATACTGTATATTCTAGTTGTAGGTCCTTCTGGCTGTGCTATGTGGGACGCTGCCTCAGCAAAGCCTGATGAGCAGTGCTGTGTCAGCACCCAGGATCCAAACCGGTGAAACCCTAGGCCACCAAAGCGGAGCAGGCGAACTTAACCACTCGGCCACACGGCAGCCCCTTGAAACTGATTTTAACCATTAAAGCAGCTTCAAAATTCTTCTTTACACCTTACAGTTAGTGGTATAATGGTTTCATGACCATTATCCTCATTGGATCAACAAGACAGTCCTGTAACCTCATCTAGGGGTGAAGACACTGGGGCTCCAAGCAGCAAGTGCCTCACACGATGATAGTAGCCAGCCTAGGACTGGAACCCAGGACTCCAGCTCCACTCCAAACAAGTCTTTGGGCTAGAAAAGAAGCACTGGCTAGAACGTAAGCTCAAATTCCATCTACTTTCTTTTCTCCTTCCAACATTTTGACAACTGTAATAATAAAAATAGTTCTTTCCTCTTTCCTTACTTCTCGGGTAGAAAATTTATGACATTCAGATCACATCAATTACTTAACTTTTGCAGTGGTATAGAGTAACACTGACGTTTTAAAATAGTATATTTAGAGTAAATCGCATATTACACTCTCCATATGAATACGTTGATGGAAGACTAGTAAGAACACTGGCATGGATGTAATAACTAAGAATTTATTTTCAAAAGTATCCTTGTTTGATTTTTTTGTTTGTTTTGTTAAAAACAAGACAACAGGTCCCAAATGGAGTCACTTATACTAACTCCCACATCACCAAACCAGGACTTACAGTCTCGGTTCTCCCAGAAATGGAATCTTAAACCAGTCAATCAGGAATCACCTGATCAGCACCAGTTTGGTAATCTGCCCGATAGACTCCCGCCATCCCCTATAAGAATGTAACCTCACAATAACCAACTTGCTTATTTGCCTAGTACAACCTCCTTGTTCCCCCCCCCCGAGTCGGTCTATAAGTCTTTCATTTTGCACAGGTCCTCAGAGCTCCTTTCTCTCTGCTAGATTGGATGCTGTGTGATTCACGAATTGTTAAATAAAGCCAATAAGATCTTTAAAATTTACTCAGTTTTTAACAGTACTGACATTTTTTTCTGATTATAGAGTACACGTATATGATAGAAAACTTGCAAATATAGAAACACATAGAGAAAAGAAAAATGACCTGTAATCTCAACACCCAAAAAATAAATGTCAATAATTTGATGTATTTATTCCTAGTCCTTTTTCTATACACACAGGCTTTTTTCTTATATTTTTCTAAACAAAATTAATGATATGATTTGACAACCTCCTTTTCTCACTTAGTATAAACATTTCCTTATACTCTTCAAAACAGTCTCCAAAACAAAGACAAAATAGTCCTAAAAATGTTTTTTTGTGATTACATAAAATACTACATTACAACTTTACTAGAATTTATCCAATTTCCTACTGTTTGACATGTCTTTGGACTGTTCCCAATTTTTCTCTATCATAAATAATGCTATGGTGAACATCCTTAAAACACATTTTTATTTTTTAGGAAGATTAGCCCTGAGCTAACATCCGCCGCCAATCTTCCTCTTTTTGTTGAGGAAGATCAGCCCTGAGCTAACATTTGTGCCAACCTTCCTCTACTTTATACGTGGGATGCCTGCCACAGCATGGCTTGATAACTGGTGCGTAGGTCCACACCCAGGATCCAGACGGGTGAACCCCAGGCCACCGAAGCAGAGTGCACGAACTTAACCACTGAGCCTTGGGCTGGCCCTAAAACACACATTTTTATATGCATCTCTAATTACTTTCTTAGACTAAATTCCTAGAAATAGAATTATGAAGTGAAGGAATGTAAAAAATTCTAAAGTTTTGTTACATCCTGCCCAAATGCCCTTGCGAAATGCCATACCAGTTTCCACTCCCACCAGCAGTATGAGTATACCAGCTCGGCAACCCTGGCAGCAAGAGAGGATAATCTTTTTAAATCTTTACCAAGGGGAAGAGGGAGGTAGAGAAAAGGGAATGCCATCTCATTGTTGTTTTCATTTGCATTTATTGATTAGAAGGAAGCAGACATTTTAACACTTTCTATAGATTTGTTTTGATGAACTGCCCATTTATGTTGTTTATTTTCCTAGCCTGGTTTTCCTTATCATTTTGTAAAAACCTACGACATAGTTTTGAATTCATTAGCAATTTCCAGCTGTATGTAATACCACGATAGAACTTTTCTCCTGCTAAGCAGTGTACGACAGAAAGAAAAAGTAACTAAGGCCAGAGTTAGGTTAGCAGGCCAAGTCTGAAACACTGAGAAAAATTACTGTCTCCCAGGTCCGTCTAGCAACCTCCTTCAGGTTCGTTCAGCTTCTCCCCGTACACTCATCTCCCTACCTAATGCCCTGGAGATGGAAGGTCGGTCGTCGATTTGCTAGAGGGACGAGTGAATTAGATGCCCACAATCATGTGACCTTCTCATTGGTGTAACATTTCTTCCTCTCTGAAATGATGGTTGTACAGTCTTGAATTCTCTACTCACAAGGACTTCCTTTTTTTTTTCCTTCCCAAAGCCCCAGTGCATGGTTGTATATCCTAGTTATAAGTCCTTCTAGTTCTTCCATGTGAGCCACCACCACAGCATGGCAACTGACAGGTGGTGTGGTTCCCGGAAATGAACCCAGGCTGCCAAAGCAGTGAGAGCGCCGAATTATAAGGCATAATCTGTTATATTTATTAATTCTTGTATTCCTTCTATTTTAGTCTTTGTTTCTGAAACAATTTTTCTTACATCTCTAATTCTCACCTGAGTCCTGTCACTTACTTCTGAGATTTTCTAATTCTCATTTACGTTCTCATTTCATGTCTTATATTATTTTCTTAATGTTAGGTGGCTGTAGCTTTTATCAATTTGTAAGAGACATTCTCACAGAATAGAACTCTCACTGTCTATAAGGATATTATTCTGCTCCTTGCTCTCCCTGTTCTTGTAATAACTTTGCATAGAGTTAGACTCTGACACTGTTTTGTTGCTCATTTTTAAGTGAAATTTGCTTTTCTGAACTTTTAGAAGGAGGTGTGGGTCAGCATGGCTTTCCTAATTCCAGAGGTCCCTCTTCTGTTTTTTTTTTATATAGAGTTCAAAAATAGGGTGGCTTCCTCCCAAGATTTCCTAACTCTATTTCCATGCCTACTTTGATTTGATCCTCTCTCCTTCGACTCTAATATGCCTATTCTCAGTTTCAATTCCACTCCCAGCAGGTTCTTCTCAGTGTGAGTACCTGTCCTGGCAGGTCACCACAGTGGGTGAATTTCAGAAGTTCATGGGAGCAAAACGGCTCCAGTTCTTTCAGTCCTCCTGTCATCCACCCCTTGTACGTACCCTCTAAGTGGGCAAAATGCTTTCCAGTTTCACTTGGTCTGCCATATTTTCCATGGAGACCTGTTGACTATTTTGGGTCCTCCTTTCTCAGATTCAGATATCCTCCCAATGCTTCCCTGTTTTTTCCCATGCAAATACTGATACCATGCAGGCCTCGTGGCTGTTAGTGGTATGTCCATATCTGCTTGTGTTTGGGGATTCATGGGGATTCTTTTTCAATTGGTTTTTTTTTTTTTTAAAGATTTTATTTTTTCCTTTTTCTCCCCAAAGCCCCCCGGTACATAGTTGTGTATTCTTCGTTGTGGGTTCTTCTAGTTGTGGCATGTGGGACGCTGCCTCAGCGTGGTCTGATGAGCAGTGCCATGTCCGCGCCCAGGATTCGAACTAACGAAACACTGGGCCGCCTGCAGCGGAGCGCGTGAACTTAACCACTCGGCCACGGGGCCAGCCCCTTCAATTGGTTTTGTTGTAAATATCATCCACAGGTTTGTCTTTTATATCTAGTTGCTCTTTCCATTTTTACATTGAGATCTGAAAAGATTCAAGAACTACACTGTAGCCATCTTCCTCACAAAGACTTCTTATATAAATGTTCTTTGAACAGAGAGGGCCACCTGTATTGCTTTTTATTTTTTTACTTTATTTATTTTTTGGTGAGAAAGATTCTCCCTGAGCTAATAACAGCCATGCCACTTTTCCTCTATTTTGTATGTGGGATGTCTCCACAGCGTGGCTTCATGAGTGGTGTATAGGTCCACACCCAGGATCGGAACCCGAGAACCCTGGGCTGCCGAAGCGGAGCACACAAACTTAACCACTACACCACCAGGCAGGGCCCACTACTTCATTTTTTTATTTGTAAATGCCCACATAAGACTGTATAGGTAATTTTTTTAAGTTGAAATGCCTCTATAATTCCCCTTTAAAAGTATAATTAACTCATAGCTGTTTTCTGATTAAAAAAATTAAGTTACTTCATTCAGTGGGAACTGAGGTTATTTTCATCCACATCCATTAACTCAACCACTTTAAATTGAGTCAGAAGCACACTGCTGATGAAGAGATGTGCCAGAGGAAATGTAAAGGCATAGCCTACTAGAAATTCAGCCAAGTGATAGCTTAGAGAACAGGACCAGCAATCCACAGCAAAGCTGCCAAAAGGGACAGGTAAGATTTAGAGCAGCGGGTCAGCAAACATTTTCTGTAAAGGGCCAAACAGTAAATATCTTAGATTTTATAGGCCACATGGTATCTGTGGCAATTATTCAACCCTAAGTATACTAACAACATCCTCAGTGCCAGCATTGTGCCTAGCACACAAAAGGCACTTAACACTTTCATCTTTATCCAATAAATATTTAATTTTATGTCCCTCATCAACTGTTCTGCTCAGGGCAATTTCTATCAGTCCCTCACTCCTCTTCAGGTTCTTACTCAAATACAGCAAAGTATAGAGGCAAGAAGAAAAGCTTTGCAGTGAGCAAGGTTCAAATTTCAACTCTGTCACTTACCACTGTATGACTTTGATCAAGTCCCTAAACCTCTCTGAGCTTCTAAAATGGTGGTGAGCTCACCTATTTCACAGAATTGTTCTGAGAATTAAATATGAAAAAATATATAGGGCCTGCCCCGGTGGTCTAGTGGTTAAGTTCAGCATGCTTCACTTTGGTGGCCCGGGTTCAATTCCCTGGCATGGACCTACACTGCTCTGCTAACAGCCATGCTGTGCTGGCAGCCCACATACTGAAAAACAGAGGAAGATTGGTATAGATGCTATCTTAGAGTGAATCTTCTTCAACCAAAAAAGAAAAAAGAAAATATATGTAAAGTACCTGAGACCAGATATATAGCAGGCATTTTAGAAACATTAGCCCCTCTTTCTCTCCCTTCATTCAACAAATGTTCATTCAATGTTTCCTGCGTCCGTCATGATGAAAGGTACAGGGGAAGAGCACTGAGCATCACCTAGTTGGGAAAAATTCGCTGTCTATACCCATCCACCTAACCCATTCAGGTGAACGAAGTGAAAAGCAGCTCTTCCTTCCAGCCAAAACATGGGATAGAACCTACTTAGAGTGCCCTGTGCAGAGTTTTGAAGAGTGGCGTCCACATGGGGCAGATGTGCTTGCCTACGACCCTCCTCCATCAGTTTCCAACAAAGGGCACACTTTCTAGCTGCCGGAATTCAGGATCTCAGAGCTTAGATAGGCACACACCATTAGTGGTAAGCTTGGCCAGACTGATCAAGGATGGACGACCTGGGGCCAACCTGGTGGTGTAGCGGTTAAGTTCACGCACTCCGCTTCAGCAGCCCAGTGTTCACCAGTGGGATCCTGGGTGCAGACATACACATCACTTATCAAGCCATACTGTGGCAGGCGTCCCACATATAAAATAGAGGAAGATGGGCACAGATGTTGGCTCAGGGCCAATCTTCCTCAGCAAAAAGAGGAGGACTGGCAGCAGACATTAGCTCAGGGCTCATCTTCCTCAAAAAAAAAAAAGAATGGACGACCTGGCATACCACTTTTGGAAGGCTGTTTACCCTTCCGAGTAACCTGTTAGGGGCCCATCCTAACCTCTTAACTTACCTGTTGCTGCTGTTCCCTGGCCTTTCTTAGGCTGCTTTGGGGCTGTGTATTGGAAGAATTCATTTCCATGGCCAGCAGCTGCCTGATCCAGTCCAAAGAGAGAAGCCAATCTGGTGCTGTTAGTAGAAAATGAAAATGTCATTTCATTGGACATATCTCAAACCTGGAATCGTTATAAAAGTTGCTCACCTCTAACCTTGAACAAATACCTCCTTGACTGTATATCCTACCATTCCATACGGAAAGTGGCAGCTAAGCGTCTTTGAAATCAAGATTGTATTTCTGATGTGAACAGCATCAGCTGACCTTGCGCGTCCACAGGACTTTGCTCAAGGCATTTCTTCTTCCTGGACCTCAGCTTCTGCATCTGTAAATTGAGAGGACTGGTCCAGATGCTCTCTATGGTCTCTTGAAACTGTAAACTCTTGCCTTCAGCAAGTCATAGTTTCCTACTTTTTACTAGTTGGTTAAACTGAAATAAAACTGTACTACAAACTTATTCCATCAAACACGGTCCCATTTATCATTTCATTTAACAGGCAGAACCATTCCTTTATCATCCCTTGCAATGACTCATGCCCCAATCATTCCACTGAAATTGCTCTTGCTAAGGTCACTAACAACCTTTTTGTTACTACACACAGTTTATCAGTCCTTATCTTATTCGGCCTTCATGCTGCCTTTTAACACTGTCAACTAATTTGTTCTTCAAACAAACTCTTCTCCTGACTTCTGTGGGGACACCTGTAGGGGTGGGTGGAGAGGCTGGCCCAAATAAGACATTAATAAATGCCAACAGAATCCCTCTCTTGTTGTCTTCCCATCTCTCTGGCTCCTCATTTAACTCCTTGGATTCTTCCTCTTTTGCCCAACCTTTAAGTGTCCATGTCCCCGAGACTTCATACTCTCTCTCCCTTGGCAATCTAATTCATTTACCTTGGTATCCAGTACTATTCAAATGCTGATGATGTTCAAATCTGTATCCCCCGCCCAGAATTTGCTCCTGAGTGCCAGACAACACAGATACCCCACAGGCAACACAAATGCAATATGTCCAAACCAGAGCTCCTATCTTCCAATCCGCAATGCCCCAGCAAAACCCGTTCTTATTCTTGTGCTCCCTCTCTGGGTGAATGACATTTTGTGTCGGGGTCCCCAAGACCACGCACAGGTTCAGTGATTTTCTGGAAGGACCACTGGATTCAGCATATAGTTGTACTACTCATGGCTAAGATATATTACAGCGAAGGGATACACAGCAAAATCAGTAAAGGGAAAAAGCGCATTGGGGCAAGTCCCGGGGAAACCAGGAGCAAACTTCTAAGAGTCCTCTCCCAGTGGAGTGACACAGGACAAGTTTAATTCCTCCAGCAATGAGTTGTAACAACATGTGTGAAGTGTGGTCTACCAGTCACTAAAAACTCAGGCCCAAGGTTTTTTATTGAAGGCTGGTCACATAGAAACCCTCTAGCATGTACCAAAATTCTAGACTTGTGGAAGGAAAGCAAGGTTCAGTACAAACAACTGTTTGTACAGACAGTTTAGGAACAGCAAGCACTCATCATTTACAGAAAGCTCTGTATCAGTGTGGGGAACTGTTTGCCAATCAAGCTCCCAGGTGTCAGCCAAGTGCCAACCTTGTAAACAGGACTTTCTAAGGGTAACAGTCTCAGGTCTACTGTGTTAACTCTTTTCTGCAAACATCCACAACCAAAACTGAAACCTAGGCATCATCCTTGACTTTTTCCCCCTGGTTCATGACCTATCCTTGAGTCTATTTGATTTTACTTGCTAAATATTTCTTTAACCCATTCACTTCTCCCCATTCTCTCTGTCGCTTCCCTAGTTCAGGCCACCATCACATCTATCAGCTTGAAATATTGCAACCTCCCGACTCATTGCCCTGCCTTGGTCTTACCTCCTCCCTACTGCACCCACAGTGGTCTTTCTAAAAACCAAATTTGACCAACTCTCTTTCCTCCTTAAAACCCTCAATAACCCCTCAATATTACCAAGATAAAAAAAAAAAAAAAACAACTCCACAAGACAGCTTTACAAGGCCCTGCAAGACCTCGCCTCTCCTTACTTCCCCAGCTTCCTCTCTGGCCATTTCTCATCTCCAAGTGTGTGCTACAGCCACACCAAGGTACTTTTAGTTTCTCAAATAAGGCAATGTCTTTCCAAACTCCGGCCCTTGCGTACGCTGTTCCCTCTGCCTGAAGCATTCTTCCGGTTCCTCCTCTCCCCTGGAAGCTGCCCCTAATCTCAAAGTCTAGGTTAGATGATCTGCCTAGGGGCTCCTATAGAACCCTATACTTTATTCATTCAAGAAATATGTGCCACACACTGGGCTAAGTGCTGGGTACACACCGCTGAGCAAAACTGGGTTCTATTTTCAAGGAATTTACATACCCTAACAAGAGAATTAGACATTACATAATATATAGCTGCCAACTGTAATATGAGAATGTATAACAGGCAGACACATACTCTATAGAGGTATCATGGTAATTGATTATTTATTTTTATTTATTTATTTTTTAAAGGTTGGCACCTGCACTAACATCTGTTGCCAAACTTTTTTTTTTTCCTTCTTCTTCTTCTTCTCCCCAAAGCCCCCCAGTACACAGTTGTGTATTCTACTTGTGAGTGCCTCTGGTTGTGCTATGGGGGACGCCGCCTCAGCACAGCCTGACCAGTGGTACTATGTCCGCGCCCAGGATCCGAACCAGTGAAACCCTGGGCCAGCGAAGCAGAGCATGTAAACTTAACCACTCAGCCTCGGGGCCGGCCCCCTGATTATTTATTATAATCACCACTTGCCTGTATATTTTGCCTACGGTCTAGTATGTAAGAGGCCCAATAAATAGACTCAAAGTCTAGTCTAGCTCTGAGCTCCTCTTCTGCAGAGGCATCCTTAGTTTAGGTGAAGTAAATATTGAAACTCCCTAACAACTTTTTTTGGACTTTTTCCCCAACAACTTTAATGTATATTACATACTAACATTTTGCAAAATAAATTTAATATGATTTGAAACTATCACCTTGTTTCCTCAAGGTGGTGTACTTTAAGTTTCTTTCAAGTTTCCTGTAAATGGGGCCAACGATGCCTACTTTAAAGGACTAAAAGGTTTAAATGAGGTTGCAAGTGTAGAGAGCAGTGCTGGTCTAAATAAGACATCGACAAAAGCTTATGAAATTTAGAAGAGACCAAGATGTCTCCTTTTAGCCAGGGTAATCTGGGCAGATTCCCTAAAAGAACAGGATTCTGGGAGAGTTGGGCAATGCCTTTAACACAGTGAAAAATTTACAAAGCTTAGAACCTAGTTAAGATATAACAGCTTATGCGCAGATAATTGATAAGAAAACAATATCTGTGTTAGCTTCATTAAACTATGGGTATTGGATTTGCTATTTTAATTCTGCAGGCATGTTTTATTTCAAGGGAAAGACAAAAGTGTCATAGGTGAACTATATTTCCATAGATGTCCTAAAGGTCAGCCAATTGATGATTGCAAAATCAATCCAAAAGCCAGGTCAATCCAATTATCTTTCAGATTAATTCTATTTTCCATTAATATTTTTATTTTCTTTCTTTTTTTTTTTCCTTTTTCTCCCAAAAGCCCCCCAGTACATAGTTGTATATTTTTTGTTGTGGGCCCTTCTAGTTGTGGCATGTGGGACGCTGCCTCAGCATGGCTTGATGAGCAAGGCCATGTCCGCGCCCAGGATTTGAACCAACGAAACACTGGGCCGCCTGCAGCGGAGCATGCGAACTTAACCACTCAGCCACGGGGCCAGCCCCTCCATTAATATTTTTAAATGAACTGTATACAGACTGAGGGGCATAAGTTTCTTGTCAATTATTACATTTTTCCACTTTTAAGTGTTCTGAAATGTACATATCTCCCTAACTATGTTAGAAAGAATGGGCTTGCTAACTCCGGGCTTACGTCTCTATGTTTATAATTCATGGAAAAAGTCATTACAGTATTAATTATACTTTAAAAGTAATTGTTAGCCAATGTATTTGGATGCCAGAGTCCCTATTTAGCCTTAGTTTTATACTCCTTTTCTTTTCTCATCATAAACAATAACACACACATTTATGTCGTATGTTTCAATAAATGGCAATTCTTTTTGTTGTTAAAGTACTTCTTTCATGAACTGTGGCATCAAATAGCTACTCCTACAATAATAATAACGGCTCACAGGCAGTCTGGTGGAAATCAGCTTGCCTGATGTCAAATCCAGGTTCTTTTGCTTTTTAGCTGTGTGACCTCAGGCAACTTACTTCTCTGAGCCTTAATTTCCCATTTGTAAAATGGATACAACAGTGAAACTAGCTCATAGAGTAGTAGGGAGAAATAAAAATGATAATGTGTGTATATTACTTAGCACAGTGTCTGGCACTGAGTAAGTACACAATATATGTTTTATATACATGTGCACACATTCTATTACCTTAAAATGTCGATTCAACTCAGCTACCCCTGTAAGGGAGAAAGCATGCCCAACACATGCACAAACTGACCTGCAACTATGAACTTACATCAGCATAAATACAAAACCACAGAACTGGGAAAGGTCTCAAGGATCATCCAGGGCAAATCCCATTATTTAACAGGCCAAGATATGGAGAGCCAAGGATGGGAAGTGACTTGTCCAAAGTCACACTCCTAATTGGGGGCAGAATCAACATTAGAATCTAAGCTTTTCCATATCTTTTACAGAACTCGAAAATGCTTCTGATGACCAGTTCCAGATTTACCTTTTTTCTACCTCTCCAGTGGTGATTTATCATTACCATGCCTACATGTAACTTTTATATAATCTAAAACGGGTATATACATAACTGGTCCCTTAAAAATGCTTTGTGATTATTATTACTGGATTGATTTTCTTCTAATACAAAAATGGAAGTTTCTGAGGGGCAGGAACTGTGCCTTATTCCTGTCTGCATTAGCTAAAGCCAAGTAACAGACACTTAGCAGGCACTCACCTATTTCTTCATTTTAAAGTCACAATAGTGGGGAAAAGGCTCAAACAAAAAACAAAAATAAAAGCAAGCCTCCTGATTACTATTTCTAGGTTAACCATGGACTTTAAGAGGCCTGGAAACTTGAAATACAGATTATCAATCATCTAAAAAGCCATCCTAGCACCAATACTCCCACTTCTATTAGGCTTGAATATCCTAAATGGAGTCAAGTCAGTCATATATGTAAATCAAGAATATCCAAAAATTAATAAGCAAATATATTTACAGTAAATTACAGTTATAAAGAGGAACTGAAAAGCAGCTGCAGCACTCACTGTCATACGTTCTACTTCCTTAGAGAAAACCAAAAAAGGAATAGCTGTATCAGAGAACGCTGGTGAATCTTTCTATATTCTCAATCTTAAATTTGATTTGGCTTTTCTGGTTATTACTGGGAACAAAAATAAATTATCTGTATAGCTTTGTTAACTAAGACTTTTATCATTCAATTAGCTGTTGTCTATGTTTATGAGCACAGTCACATGCCTAGAACTCAAGTGTTTCCGGCCCTTGATGAGCCAGCTAAGGAAAGCAGTATAGCTGAGCCACCAAGAACTTATCTCAGGCCAGGAATCTGGAAAAGAGCACATGACTGTCATTATCCACCCTGCAATTTTCAGTCAGCAGGGGACTGCTTGTTGCATGAAAGTTGGGAGCCCTAACATTCATTTACAGACTTCCCCCAAATACTTGCACCTAGGGAAGAATGTGAATTTAAAGTATATACTGTAAACTTTCAAAAGGCACAGCCACATACAAAATAGGCTTATACGAAAAAACACTAATTCACAAGCCTCAATACACAGACAACAGCAGCAGGTTGGACTGTGTGGAAATTTTAGTGAATGTTTTGGGTGGAATAGGGAAAAAAGGAACCAAAACACAGCTTAACTCTGAGCGACTAAAAGAAGCCCAAGTGGAACTAAGCAGATGTAGGCCATCTAAAGTGGGTGTGGGGTAGAACAAGACAGTGAGAGTGAAAAGAGGATTTCAGGATAGGTAATAGAGCTAGTCACAGTGTAAGCCAAAAGATCCTATTTAAGACCAAAAGAGAGCCAGTGTCATTTTATGGTCATTCATGTTTTCAACTTTCCATCAGGCCTGGAAGCAACTTGAAGGCAGGTACAGTAGCTTAATCATCTTCGTAACCTCTCAGCATTTAACAGAATGAGGGATATATGTTGGTGTATTCATCATTCTTCAGTACACTTTGAAATCTGTTAAACAGATGTTCAAAGAAAGGCTCTGCAAGAATCAGAACTTGGCAGCTCAAAAGTTTGAAGGGAGTCAAGCTGTCTACTGACACAAGACAAGGCAAGGCAAAGGCTAAACTGATTACTGAAGAGATAAAGCCCTGCCTCTTGAAAACTTGTACCCTGGGCTAGTATAACAATGACAGGGTGGGGTGGGGGTGACGGGGGAAGGAGGCAGGGGATAGCGACCACAGTCTCTTACATTGGCTTTAAGGATTAGAGTGCAAATTCACAGCTTTATTCATTCAACAGGCACTTCCTAAGCACTCGATATGTGCCAGGCACCGTGCTGAGCGCTAGATAGAGATGAACAAAAGCAGCCGCAGTCCCGTCAGGGACTCATAATCTAGCAAGTTCAGTATGCAAGGATAGACGTAAACACGCCTAGCTGTGGGAAGAAGGGAAAGGAAGCAATTTATTCTGCCTGGGGCTGCAGGAGAACAGAAACCATCAAAAAGGTGACATCCGAGCTGGGCCCTGAAGGATGCTGGAGCTGACCGACCAAGGCCAGTTCTTAAGTCGTCACCGCCTCGTCCACGAAGAAAGTTTCATATCGGCCCCAGTTGACTCCTATAAGAACTCTGAGGCGGGTATTCTCATCAGCAATCACCCCCATTTCATAGAAAGTGAAACTGTGACCCAGAAAGGGAAAGGCGAACCGCAGGGTCATACTGTGTGTCAGGGGAGAGGTCAGGTCCAGGATCCAGATGGACAGACTCAGTTTCGAGCTTTGCCCACATTCAGAGACCTGCAGAGCACCGGAATGTGGCAAGGGTCTGGACCCGGAAGTGAGGAAAAGCTCTGATAAGAGATCTACCCCTCCAACCTTTTGCCCGGCTCTCTCGGCCACGCCCTCTGTCCCACGCTTCTCAGTCACTCACCCACCGCTAGGCGAGAGAAAGTCGGTGTCGTCTTCATCGCCTGCACCGAACATTGCGCAGGCTTTGGTCCCGCTGCTGTGATGATCTCGGGGTGTTCTTCGGTTCTTTACGGGATGTCGTGAAATGCCGCGGCAGCGTCTGCTTTCCGGCGGAGAGAAGACACGCCTCTGAAGGAGGTAGAGCCAGGCAAAGTGGGAGGACCTCCAGCCAGCCCAGGCTGCGAAATCCGCGGGAACGCCGGAGTCCTACGCCCCTGCGTAGAACTGGTTGGCCAGCGCGGCAGGGGGGGCGGGGCAGGGATCGTGCTCGGTGGAGGCAGCCGACACGTTTAAGCCGGCCGAAGTGGAGGGGGCTTCTGAAGAGTGGTGGAGGGGTGACGGGCCAAGATTCTGAGACGGAAGCGCCGGTGGCGGGACTCGATCTGGGAAGGTAAGTCCGTCCCCCTCGCCTCTCTTGCAGCCCAGGCACGGGCACAGTCCTTTCCCCTCCGGGACAAGGACCCTCCACGCCATTCTTTGCTCGGCAGAAGGAGAAAGGGCCTGGGACTGGCCGTCTGGAGCCTTGAGCTTTCGGCCCGGCCCCAACAGTGACATACCTAGAGTGACCTTAGGGCAGGGTGTTCGGTGACTCAGTTTCTCCATCTGTAAAAATGGACCGGACGCCCCTACCGCTTCTCCCCTGTGACCGACCTCGCTGTATGTTCAACGGGCTGTTTGTCCAGTGCTTCCTATGCCGGCCGGTCAGGAAGCTTTTAGACCTCAGAGGTCATGGAATTCAATCTGTGCCTCGTAATTCCAAAATTTGCTGATAGAGAAAGGAAGGAACGAAGCACTCTGAAGACTAGTCCGAGGCCACGCAGAGTAAAGGGCAGACGGGCTGGATCTCTGGTCTCCTGACTCCGGACTCAGCTGACTGCTGAACAAGAACCTTCCCAGACCTTGGACACTGTATGCCTTACAGAGTGGTTATTGCGAGACCGTGGCGTACGTCTTGAGAGAAGGCCCCTCTCTAGAGTCCATCTGTGCAGGAGAGCTGGGATGTTCTCGGGATGGGTAATGGAAAGGAGGAAGTTTTACAAGCTGGCAATCCACAGCCCCAACCTTGGCCTGGGTTTTGCTTAGTCGTCCTACGCAGACCTAAGGCAACATCAATTGTTGCTGACTTCTCTGCCTCTAGTTTGCACCCTCTCTGTGTCTTATATAAGTGTTTCTTTGGTTACCCTGGTGTAATTCTTGGCACAGTCTCTAGGCCTGGCTTAGCCAAGGTGTGGATAAGCAGCTAATGTCCCACTGTAGCGTCCGTTTCCATAGATCTCACTGGAGTTCTTTTTCTCCGGGCTTCTCTCAATCAGGTTGACACAACAGGTGTCCCTTACCTGAATGTTGTCATCTGTTAGCATGAAACTGAAGGCAAGTGATTTGTAGCTCTCCCCCAGAAAACTCCGTACCTCTTGGTACTTCCCTTGTTCCACTTTTTATTATAGTTTGTGTACTTCTACTAAATTGTAAGCTCCTCAAAGACAGGGACAGTTTTATTCATCTGGGTGTCTCCTGTGTCACAAAGCACCGTCTTGCCCATAATGAGCTAATTTCTTGTTCGACTGAGTAATTCTTCCTTTATTCCTTAATTTACTCTTTTAGGATTTTTTTCCCCGTGTGACTTAAAGAGCCCAGTAGTGGTTCTCACCTTCCATAGATAGCTTCCAGAAAGATAAAAATGCTGTACTAGCTGTGAACTGAGTTACTTAGTCTCTTTTGTGAATTGAAGACGATTTTACTAATGTTTAAAGCTTTACGGGAAGGGAAAGGGGAATAGGGTAGCGAGAAATATTATATGTAACTCTAATTTTTGTTAGTAAATTATTCCTCTGTTAAACTGAGACAGAGGACTGTTGTCCGCTTCCTGTGTTTATTTTACAGATTAAGATGGTCGAAGTAATGAAGGCTGACAGTGTTAAAGCAATGATGTAACGGGAGGCTAAGCACTATAACAGGAACTTTTTGCAGTAGCTCTGGTTAGAATGTGGACTTGGCTACTTCTCAGGGAAAAAAAAGAAGGAACCGCATAAGTAACAGCTCTTTGTAACCCCTCTCCCCAGTACTGGCCCTTCCTGTCCCAGCTCTGAAACATCTGAGTAATACTTTGAAAAAATGCTGACGGATCATTTGAACGGTTATCTTGCATTCTTGAATGGGGGTGTTTTCATCCGGGGTGTGTAAGTAGCCTTTTTAAATAGGCAGAAATCGTAAAATCTCGATCAGCCTTTTTTGCTGATTGAGACACCGCAAATCCGCATGCCCAGATCACCACTGTGGAAATACAGCTGCTAGTACTGGTTGGCAGTATGAGGAAGGGGAAGATGGTGGTGAGGTTTCCTCTGTCTTTACGTTTTAAACTGCAGGATTGGGTGCACCTAAAAAGCCGGTGTCTTTCTGAATTAGAATATTGGACTGGGATTCAGACAACCTGAATTTTCATCCCAGCCTGTCTGGCTCACTCTGAGCTTGGCCCTGGCTCCCTAAACTTTATAAAAGGACTGGATTAGACCTAGACATCTGTTAAATACTACTGGGGATACAGAGGTTACATAAGGCACAACTTTGATCTCAAGTTTGAATTAAGCAGTTTTGTTTGTTTTGCTTAAGTACACAGCTTTTAGATGTATTTATAAAATGTATGACCCCCTGAAGATTAACCAGGAAGCAGCAATTTTAACAATTCCTTTCAAATTGTCGGCAGTTTTGCTACAGAGATGACAATTTTTATATGTAGGTACACCCATACACATCTGTGCTGGTGAATGCATTTTAAAACTAATAGTTTAAAGTTATAACCAAGTTAGACCCTAGATGTGGAGATAGGGATATAAATCAAAGGTGCGTTTGGGGGGTTGGTGTAATGTTCTTTCTGTTCAGTCACTGAAAACAGAAAAATGTCAGAACACAATTGAAGAAATATCTGAAGACTTGCTATGTATATGGCACTGTGCTGGGTGTTGCCTGGGATAGGAAAATATGTAAGTCGTTGTTCCTGTCCTCAAAGTGCTTATAGTTGAATAGCTGGGATATTGAAGTATGTGAGTAACCGCGATAGAAGACAGAGCAAAGTAAGTCCCATAAGTAGAAATTAATTATTCTCGGACTTCAAAGGAAGAAGAGATCCTATCTAGTTTGTTAGAGGGTGTGAGGTTAGATAATGGGCTTTGAAGATGAGTGGGGGTCCAAGTGGAATTGAGGAAGTAAGGCTGTCCAGGTTGCGCGAGTGGCTTTGGCAGAAGCACAAAGGCAGGAAAGAAGGCGCAGAGTTTTTTACAAGAGTCGCCCTCTTATTTGAAGCAATTGAGGCCAGTCACTGGTTAACTGAAAAAGTAAGTTAAAGCAGGGACTCATACAGATATTAGTTAAACAGACCTTAAACATTTTATTTTAACTTAAAATGTAAACATCTTTTTGCCATTCTTTTCACATAAACCTTTTCTTGGCGTGTGGGTCTCAGGGATCTACGGACTACAGCGTGAGGGCCAAATCGTGTCCTAGCCTGCTGCCTGTTTCTGTGAGTAAAGTTTTATTGGAACGTAGTCACACGCATTTGGTTATATATTATCCATGGCTCCCTTCACGTTCCAGGTAGAGTTGAGTAGGTGAGTGTATCTGCGTGCCTCGTCTTTATCTGGTCATCCCAAAGCTTTCAGCTTGGTTTTCATAGAAACAACTACTCTAGAGTCTATGTAGTATAGTAGTTAAAATCTTAAGCGCTGGAGACAAATCATTTTGCCATTTATTAGTTGTATAGGCCTTGGGCATGTTGCTCGGTTTCCTCCTTTGTAAAAGAGAGACAATAATAGTATCTAGTTCCTAGGGCTCTGGTGAAGATTTTATGAGTTAAAGTACTTAAAACAGTGCCTGGCAGGTAGTAAGTACTCAGTTAGTATTAGCTGCTGCCGCTGTTTTTCTCTTCTCGTTTATACTTCATTCAGTTACATATTTACGGTAGTAAGCACAGTGGCATAAGTTGGTTTTGTGAACAATCATAACTGACACCCTCGATATGCACACAGCTTCCCTGAGAGGGAGCGCAGAAGTGTTGCTCCCCTGATGTTGGAGATCGGCCTAGCTAGTATGTCATCAGCTCACTTGGTTAGGAGAGTCTTGTGGGATAGTTTGCTAAGAGAATAAGACGCCAGTACACATAGGGAAGTAGTGGATTAAAATTGTAAAAGAGACCAGGGCCATATTTGTCAAATACCTTAAAGGCCAAGGTGACAAGTTTGTGTTTAGCCCAGTAGGAAATGGAACTTTTTATTCTAAATGACGTGATTGATGTAAAAAAAAATTCAAATGGTTTAGGAGTGTAGGAAGTAAAAAGTAAAAGTTTCCGTGGCCCCACCCCATGTAAGTAGCCACCTCATTTTTCTAATAGTCCTTAGAATGTGGAGTTATGAGGATTGAAAGAGATAAGCAGGGTAAACACTACCTGGGGCACTGATATTGATCTATTAAAAACCTCAATCCAGTTTTTCTTTGGATTATAATCTGAATTTTGAAATGAGAAAAGTAAAGATTCTAGACTGAATGTGAATAAAATTAAATGACCCCTCTAAGGGTCTTTAAGTCTGTTCCTCTCCTTGTTCCAGTTTGGCTCTGCCGTGCTTCTCCTTTGTGCCTTCCTCACCAGAAGTGCTACAAAAGAGAAAAAGATGACATAATTATCACTGGAAAAGCAAATGTTCGCAGTGAGTGACAAGATGACTTCCACTAGTGGAAGATGTCTGAGAAGTCAGTGACCAGGCAACACTTAGCTGACCCTGCCATTGAAAGTTAGCAAGCCAGGTACGATTAGGGAAAAGGGAGGGGTAGGGGGAGGGTAGGTTGCTGAGGCCTGCACTCCCACGTGCAGCTTTTTTAGCATAATAAAGCCATTTAAAAAATCAAAAGTTTTCTGTAGTTTGTGACTAGGTATGAGAAGTCATCAGGAGGCTGATACTTAATACATTAACTGTTCAGTTTATGCCGAAAGAAATCTTACAGGAGAGACTGGGAAGGAAATGCTTTTGAAGTTCCACGGCTTTGAGCAGTATCATTTCAGGATTGAGGTAACATCCCCAAGCAGAGGAGGGGGCCATCCTTAGGAATGCAAAGCCCTGCAGAGAAGGAAAGGGTTGAGAAGGGTCCGCCCTACCTCTTTTCCTTTACACAAAAGGCCCTAGGCTTTTATATACAACCTGCTTTTGTGGGCTGAGGACCTTGTGCAATACAGCATAATGAGATGGAAACCTGTGTGGCTAAAGTAAATATGAGAACTGATTTCCAGGGCACTCATAAAAAGCAAAACTCTAGCAACCAGTGAAATGTTAGAGGACCTTTTTCAGCCGTGTTGTCTTCCCCTAAATAGGTAGTAGAGTTATTATAGAACTCTGCTGAGCATTTATA